AGGGTTGACCATCAAGAGCGTGTTCATGGTGAGAATACGAGAACCTCACCGATCCCTCTCTCGCGTTCTTGTCTGGAATTGCAAGTCCTTCCCGTCCAGGGTGAATATTTCCCCGAAGGTCTTCGATGTCAAGGTGGAATGATGAACCATGCTTTCAGCATAGAGGCCTCAAGTTGGGCAAAGTTCAGGAAGCTTGACTTTGGCTTCCCTCCCGTCTAGCATTGTGAGGGTTGACGTTCTGATCATCATCACTACCTCGTCTAAAGCGTGCTTACCGGAGAGAGAACTACAGATTCCTGATTCGTCTAGGACTCGACCCACCTTTTCTTAATTTCGAAGGTACCGGAAGGGTCCGTATTGCACATGGTACGATTCTAGTCAGTGATGCTTCAAGTTGCGACTTCAGGGCAAGCCTGTATGATAGATGTATGTGTGTATATATATATATATATGTGTGTGTGTGCATATGTTTACACATACAACATATGAACATACATGCATACACATACCTACATACATACCTACGTACATGCAAGCATGCATGCATACGTACATACAGACATACCTACATACATACATACATACACATGTACCTTGTCTTGTCGGCATGCGGTCTAGCCAGCACCTTCTGTAGCAGGTCCCGTATTGGCTGCTACCGACATGAAATTAGATCGAAACGTTTCGCTTTTTCGATTTTCCCTCTTCAAGTGAGGGCGCAAGCACCCCTCCCCGTGCGGAAAGTGAGCTGTTGTCCTGCACTGGTCGGTGTCGGTATGGGATTGGCATTGCTTTTTGCTGTCTCTCTGTTTACGCTCTTCTGCTCGTTTCAATGAACTTAGACGTTGAGGAAATCTCCATATAAGTGCTGGTTTCCTTCTCGCTCTCTCTCTCTCTCTCTTTTTCTTTCGTCGGGCCTAGGGTGCTCTTGTCTCTCGGCGACTGGGGGTGAGTCCTGCAAACGGGGCGTGACGGCTTCGAGTAGACACGATGCCCTACCTGAAGTCACGAGTGAATTCCTGGCAAGACTTAGCCCTACGCCCAGTAGGCGAGGGCAAACAAAAAAAACATCAACAGGTATAAGTCTAGGGTGAGTTCTTAGCGCGTGTGCTACTCTCTTCAAGGGTATGCACCAACACTGCACCAACTTTTGCGACCTTACGCACTCCCTGCCACCCAAACGCTGGAACCTTTCTGTGGAATCAGGGGCTGAGACACATCTAGGCTCACCACATGTTTAAGGCTTTGCGGCCTTAGACCTTCAGATTTTCGGGTGTTCAAACATGCAAGACCATTTATTTGCGCTTTTGCAGGTCTTTCGTTCTGGTCCTTGCACCAGAAGCCCACGGTCTGCTGGACGAGGACCCCAATCCAGAAAAACCCACCTCTTCACACACCTGCTCTCCTGTTCGAGGCTTTTGAACATCGACCCGGATGTTATATTAAGCCGAAATCCTGCATAAACAACACATCAGGTCGAGTTACCACCGGGTGGTAGGTAGACCCTGTTTAAGTGCACTGACAGCTACGCCCACGCCCCAAACCCAAACCCTATACCCTAAACCTTACAAGCCAAAGCCCCAACCCTCGGAAAGTCTAAACTATAGCATAATCTACTTGTCGGGTATCATGGGGAACTAAAGGTTAACCCTTTTGGCTATACAGGGATTATATAGGGGCTATACTACCCAAAAAAGGTTATACAAAGGGTTCCCTACTCTACTACGAGGCTAAACCCTCTGAACCATGAACCCCCGAAACTCATTATATAGGGGCTATGCTCCCCAACAAAAGGTTCCCTACTCTACTACTAGGATAAACCCCTGAACCTTCAAAAGACAGGCCGCTCATCTCTTCGAACCAGTGCTCTCCAGTGAAGGTCTCCTCCGCGCCGTTGCTGTCCTCAGCTCTGTTTAGGGTTTAGGGTATAGGGTTTAGGTTTTCTTTTAAACGCTCCTTGTTCTGCCATGGTTTGGGGTTTAGGGTTTAGGGTTTGTCTACAGGGCTTAGCATAGGCATTTAACAGTTAGACAAGGGCTTTTGAGGTAGATGATGGTATGATCAGGAACCTTGAGCGTGGTAATCATTCTGGTTCTGCACACTAGGTTTTCACTGAGTCAGGAGGTTACGGATCCCAGCTCCTTCTACTCAGGGTTTAGAGGATGTGGGTGTCAGCGCCGGATGTTTTGGTAGTAGTTTAGGCCCCTATATTAGCCCTGGACCCTTGCATCTGCAAGGCTTTGCAGGGGACTGTCAGCCCAGCATCGGTGTGGATGTACGTACCGGTGGCGGTCAGGTACATGGAGTTTGCCACAGCTCCCGCTGTGAAAACGCACTCCTGATGGTGCATCTCCAGGTGTCTAGGTTCGATGGCTCAAACAAGATGACATATGATGATTGTGGGGCACGGGCAGACAAGCATAGAAATATAGGCGTCACAAAACCTAAACACCCAAGGGCTACGCAGGCTGGAAGCTGTCTTTTTTGATGAATGAGACTCATTGCCACAGATCCAGCCAGGCAGGAGCAGAAACCGCGTCATGTATATATCAGATTCAAGACTTTATCTGGGGTTAAGCGACACCCTAAACGCTAAACCAGTTAAGTGTACTTGGTAGCCGGCTTCCATCCGAGCCTTCTTCTCGAACACGTTCTTCACTAGCGCCGCGCAGATGCTTGCAAAACCTCAGCGAAATCATGGTCGGCAACACAGAGCAGGCTGTACAGGGACCCGACGTTGTTCTGGGACCGAAAGATGTCGGCAGGAACAAAACGATCTGTTGGGACAATCTTCGGTGTTCTTTCTTTAACCCCCCGGCCCTATGGCCTTCCGAAAGCAAGAAATCCGAGCACAATGGGCCTGGAAACAGAACATCCAGGGTTTCGGGTTCTGACCTCATGTACGGCCGACACGGAGGCGAGCTAAAACAGCCGCAAAGAACCCCTGCTAATGGTCGCTGCGAAAGAATCCAGGTTCCAAGTTCGAAAGAGCCTTCTTGCGCCCAAACATATCACCACCATACAATGAGGGCGTCGTTCGGGAGTGCATTCAGACATTTCTACCACTGGCTGAAGCCAAAACGTGAACCCCCAGAACCCGAAATCATAACCAGCCATGCGCACTTAAGGGCTGAGACCCCTAAACCCATGTTTGCACAGACTTGTACATGCCCGCCTGGATCTAAACCCTAAACCCTTAAACCCTAAACCCTCTAAACCCTGAACCCTAAACCCCTGACCAAGCACCAAGTTACAGTCGGGAAATGCCTGTTTCGTGAGGCCGAAGACTGGCACGGACTCGAGGAACTTTCCTGCCCGAGTGCTTGAATGCGTCTCATTGAGGTGTTGCTTTTTTACAGTACTGTGTATGCAGAGACATCGTGCCTCTATATGTATATACGTATAAAACTGTGTACATGTATCTGCATACATGTATGTACATATATATATATATATATATGTGTGTGTACTCATCTTTGTATATGTGTGTAGTTGTTTGTGTCTGCACATGATATGTGAGCGGCGGCTGTTCATTACATGAGTCCCAGCTGCCGTGTTGGTATGCATACTAAGCATATGCTGAGACATGCGCACACACACACACACACATGCATCATCCTCCACCCCTCTCCGTCATTAGGAACAAATCAGGCTCTGCTCAGTGTTTCGCGGTAGCAGTAGCTGTCGTCGTGATGGTAGCACCGGCAGCAGCAGTCATACCGTGAACAAGGAAACTCTTCCGCTCTTACGAACGTATCTCATTGCTACGGCATTCGGGGGCTGGCTGCAGCAGTCAGTCTTCGTACCAGGCGATCAGCTAAACCGATGGAACAACAGAGTGATTGATCAAAGTGGACACTGCTGACTTCGGACATGTTTATCGGCGCATGAGAGGTTTCGCACGTATATGTCATGCTCAGCACTGACATCATCATTCTGGCCTCTCATCGTGATCCTCATCGTTATTTAGATGTAGTAAGCGGACCAATAACATGGCGCAACGACTCCAGGCCAGGAGTGTGAGGAGTTTCACAGTCTCGCTCAAACAACGTCCGGCCAGCCTCGCTGGTTGACATAGAGCTCTGTCTGAAGAGTTATGGATATCAAGGAGCCTCCGTGATCACAAAGCTAGCTGGCATTGTCAGGCTCGCGACGTCTCCCAACCCTTCTCTCTCTCTCTCTCTCTCTCTCTCTCTCTCTCTCTCTCTCCCCCTTTCGCTCGCACACTCTCGTTCCTTTAAGCTCTTCGGCTGATCTAAGGCGCATATGCCGGACGAAATACACTGCCAAGTAGTGCAGCCGACGCCTATAGCTAGTTTGATTAGGCAAACGTGTCGATGTGAGTGTATGCACATCTGCATGCAGGATTCATTTTCAATGGGCCGCGTATACATATATATATATATATATACGTATGTGTATATATACATTGTGTAGTTAAGACATGCTTTCGTTGGGCACAGCTTTGCATATCTGACTCCTTGTCTGTGTGTGTGTATATATATATACATATATACATATATATATATATATACATACATACATACATACATACATACATATCTCTCTCTCTCTCGACATATATACATATGTATATATATATATATACACATATATCATATATCTCTCTTTCTGTTTCTCTTTCTCTGGCACACTTAAGCAGATGCAAGCCCGAGGCATGAACTTCAACCTAAGAAGGGCTTGTCCAGGCAACTGTCGAAAGATATCGGAGTGTTCTTTTCCAGCTTGTAGTCCACGAACCTGAGCAGCACGAGCCTATAAGACACAAGCTCGAACATATCTTCATCGTACACGACCTTGCGCTGCACAGCTCCATGGACGCATACTGGCGAGTTAATGTGATCATTCGAGCATAGTTCTGCTTACCGCTAGGCTTCGTCTTCCCAGCGAAGGATTACACTACACGGTATCCTCAACCGTTTAATGCAGGCCGGAGGTGAAACAAAGTTGCAAGTACCTGTGCGCACAGGACCTTGGGCCCTGCGACACCGCTGGTGGAAGCTCTTTGTAGACACAATTATAACTGCTATCAAAAGTACAACTAGTGACACTAGCCTGTCCCGGAATGATCTGCATGCAAGAGGCCGCATGATGCGGGAAACGAGCTCAAACGAGGCATCTTGGTGGGTGAGATACACCTGAAAGAAGCCGGAGAGGGCATCACATATCGGTATATGGGAGTTTCAGAAAATAGGGGTACCGTATTTGGGGGTCCTTATAATAAGGATCCTACTATTCAGGGCACTATACTAGCATCCCCTATTTTCGGAAACTCCCATATCGGTATATATAACTGCTTACCAGTAGGTGGGACGGAGGTACCTACATGTTCTACGAGATTTAGACTTCTGGTCTGAGGGTTTCGAGACCAATTCGCTTATGGTTGGATGTATTGCTCGGACGTGCTGCTGCAACTCGTGAAATCTCTTCCAGCACAACGGGTTTCAGCAGCCCTTATAGCCTCATGCAATGGCTACATCCCGTCGCGAGCAGCAACGTACAGAATGTGACAACGTATCAACAAACAGACATGCAAAAGTACTTCCGCATATACATTTGTATATGCATATGTACATGTATGTATGTACATAATACAACGCACACAAACAGAGACTCACACATACACACAAAGTCTCACATATGCACAGGCAGACGCATATTTCTTGTTCACACATGTGTCTCAGTCAAAACTCATAGACATGGAGCAAACGAAAAAGCACAATAAAGCATTTAAGCTTTTGATTGACCAAGCTTCGCGGATCTCTCGCTTCTGTCGGGCGCGTGATTCGTTCCTGGGATCCAAGGCAGCGAAAGAACGACAAACAGCTCATGATTTCGACGCTCACACTCGCACGAGGCAGGCGAGGCTCCACCTAGTCCGCAGTATCTTCACAGCTCGGCAGTATGCGCGTCGCAAGCTCAGGATTTAGGGCGAGGGAACAGGCGGAGGTAAAACATATCAAGCAACATGTAAGAATAAATAGCATTGTGATGACAAGGGCGGCGCGACTAACGCATGCAACCGTTTTCGTCGTCATCGCGGCCGCGGCAGCAAACGAAAAAGTTCCACCGTCACAACCGCCATCCGCATCATCATGATTGCCACTATGACCACACGGTTGTCCCGTACATCACCACCACCACCATCGTGATCAGAACCAACATCATCGTTACCGCAGTGGTCACTAGTCATTATCAATACCGTTCATCACCGACAAAAGTCACATCGTAGAGTCTCTTTGGTGTCGACGACGGTCGTCAGCATTGACATCCCAATCACTGCCAACAACACCTTCCGCCCCTGTAACAAGACTACAACAACCCACAAGAACTAACGACCGCAATCGCATACGGATGCCACTACAGAGAATCCTCATCCTCATCACTAGCGCCCCGACCCTCAGACCGCGCAAAAGACTTCATCCATTCACCGCAAAACCTACACCGTAGAGCCTTGAATGCTGAAGCTTCCGCCACCAAGCTTTCTTTTTAACCCCAACCCAAACGCCCCAAACCTATTCTCTAAAGCTTAAGCCCTAAGCCGCCGAAGCTCATCGCTCGCAGCTCTGCCAAAGTCCCTGAGATCTTGGAGACAGTGCCGCCGATCACGACCAACGTGAACCTCTCAACAATCCCTGTGTGCATCTACACACGAACAAACTGATTATTCCCAGAATTCCACGCATACAACGATGATAAATGTGTGTAGGCACGAAATCTGTCTATGTATGCACATGACTATATATATATATATGTGTGTATATGTATATGTATACATGTATATATGTATAAGTATGTGCGTATGCGTTTGCATACACCGAGGATATTCGTTGTTGTCGCTGTTTTTGCTCGCAACATGCGTTACTATCTGCAACCCATCGACCTGGGCCCCAAAATTGCCTGGCCACTTTACTTGTCGTGCCCATGGTCCCAGCCGGTGAGGTTCCAAACGTAGGGAAGAAAACCGAATTGGCCATGCCAATTTACGATCGTTGTCGCGGGTTGTCTAGCCAATTGTGAGTTTCCGACAGTTAGGTGTACCTTATTTTGGGGTCCTCATAATGAAAATCCTCCTATTTCTGGTACTATATTAGGGTCCCCTATTTTCGGAAACTCCCAATTCTTGCTTCCAGAAAAAATTGGCTTGGACGACCCACCACAGACATCGTCGCTAGAAGAAGTTCCTCCCACTTGATGGCAGACATGTGAACATGCATCGACTCCGGTCAAGGCAGCTGGAAAGCTTCTATTCTGGAGTCTGGTGGATTCCAACATTGCGCGAGTTCCTCAGCTTAAGTCCGGCCGAGAGGCACGAAGTTCAGAATGTCGAAAAGCCTCTCTCTTCCACTATTTGCCATGATGGCAGGCGGCGCAGGAGGGTTCATCACATAGCGGATGGCATGAATGTACCTTGGATGTTTAAGACTTCGCAACGACAAAGAGCTCCCTCGCAGTATGTCGCGGTTCCAGTCGGTGTGTTGGCATGGCTCCAGGAAATGGCACGGCAATCTTTTCGAGTAGAGTTTACGACGATTAGCAAGGCTGCAGCTCGGCTTTCAGAGACATCAGCAAGCCAAGAGAGCAAACAGCAACTGCTCGAAGTACAGGGTGAAGGTTGTATACATGAGCGGAGCAAAACAAGCTTGCAACTAAAATGTGTCACGCCACATGTGTGAGTGCGGACAGCACGCGAGACCCGATATGCGTCCGGGCGTGGTAGATCTTGCCATCGCTCTACGTAGCTCTGCATGCATGAAAGCATATGTAATGCCGCAATATGCAAGAAAGGTTTCTACGCGTAGCTGATGTAGATGTGCGTGCATCTGGGGCAGTACATTGATGCGTACATGTACATGCAGATAACAAGACTTTCCAATATATGAAAACACTGTGAAGCAATCCATGGACGTGAAGAATTAGTGGGATGAGACTAGAGACCCAAGCATGCACATCACAGAGGTCACCCAAACCTTCTCACAACAGACAACGAGGCAGTGCCCTGTGTACCCAAACATGAAAGCAGCCGAGCGTCTGAACACTTGCACCGAGATTCTCGGCCTCCGCCAGGTGGATCCAGCTGACATGCCCCTCATCCCAGACCTGGTTGTCACATCGCTTGGAAATGTATAGCTGGGGTTTTGGTATCGGTGCAGTGCGAGGAGCACGGCTCAGAGAAAGGCTTCCATCTACGTGCGTTGAAACATCTACACCTGTTTCGAAGTTCAGTGTGCTTTCGTGCTGCTTTCCGTCGCAAAAGCCAGCATCTGCTGCTCTTGCTGTGCTCCTGCAACTGCAAGTGCCGAGGCTGCTGCTGCAGATTACTACGAGTCCTGCTGACATGTCCTGGGTGCAGGGTGGCGCTTAGCCACATCTCCTTTGGCAGGCATCGAGCTTGGACTAGCTGCTCTCTACCAACCAGTCAACCTACTCACTGCCATGTATGCTCAAACACAAACAGTACCTTGCCTATTGCACAGGCTTCGAGTGATTATTAGAGGCAGTAAACAGCTAGTGTGGAGAATATCTATATATATATATATATATACATATACACATGTGTGTAGGCATATATATATATATATATATATATATAGAGACACGAATAAGCCACGGGAGCTGTACAAAAGCCAAGAGGCCGTCTTGCCAATCCAAAACCAAACGCAGGTGACAATGTGCGCCACCAGCATGGTCACAACGGCAGAGTTGAACACAGCCTTGGATCGTCTCGACCCTGTTCTCGCAGCTAGCTACATTTTCATGTGAAATGACATGCCTGTGAGTTCGAGATGTCTACCAAACCTACATGATTCGAGTATGATGTCATACGTTACCCGCTTTGTTTATGGCCCGCAGTAATCTATATACAGTGACACTCTGTTGTTTACCTACTTGCTCCAGCAAAACCAGCTAACCTCCCAGAACAGCCCTAGATCCTAAATCCTAAACCCTTAACCCCTAAACCCCAAACCCTTTCACACAATCTTAGGATTGGAGCTCGCCGCCGCAACTCCAAACTCCTGAACCCCAAAACCCCAAACTTTGAAAGCAACCCTGTACTCGCCACCAATGCTTCTAGCCAATACAGTACCCACGTGAAGGACCAACATTGGGAGGCTCTGCAGTCCGGAAAGAGCCGGGTCCACTTGCAGGAGCCGCTACTTTAGACGATATGGTAGTATGTGATTTGGTGTGTGTATATGCATGGTATATAAATATAAATAAATATATATATATATATATATAGATATATATATATATATATATATATGTACATGCTCAACCGGGGGGGGGGGGGCGACCATATGTATATATATATATATATATAACAGTATATATTCTTTTTTACATTAGATGCAGCTGATTTCTGAGTGTGAATACTGTTGAATTGCATGACTGTTAGCACCATTCCAAGCGGCCCGTGTCACGAACACGAAAATCCGAACATCCGACAAGACCACAGAAGACAGACATACAGGTGACACAGCAAGCTCCCCGAGAATCCTGTGCTACCACCTACAAGCAACAGAGATGCAAATCAGAATGGGGCCTTGCAGTCACAAAACTGGCATGAGCCCGAGACTGTCCAACCGAAAAGACAGCATGTTTCGTGCTATCGTGCAATGTTTGGAAGTGCACTTCATCAGCCTACATTGCCACGGACATCCCGACATCCAACTCGGAAGAGGGGTGGTTTAGGTTGAAGTGCTTGCCGGCCTTCAGCTCGGTCATGCAGTTCGAGGCACTTTGCACAAAGTAGCTACTTAGTTTGAGGCTCCATCGTATATCATGCAAGCGGCCATGACTAGCATGATCCACTGCCGCCCAGTGGAAGCTGCAATCCTCGGCAAAGAGGGGAGGGAACGAGGGTATGGGAGCAGCAACAACAACAACGCAACACGTTGACATAAGGCCAGAGACCTGCTTCTTTCTTAAGCCATCGCCAAGCCGTGTCAATGTCTATCAGTACATGCAATGTGGCGGTGCAGACAGACACATGTGTCTAGAAGATCCGAGTAAGTGCCGAGAGCGGACATGAACAGCAACTGCAGGATTCGTTTCCCGACAGTACGAGTACGGGGTATCGAATGTCAGCAGACAAGAAGCAGTCCATCCAACGCAAGGAACCGCGTTTGTGGACGCGAACAAGTAACTAAGCAAGCTATAAACCCAAACTCTATATCCCCCAAGTATAACAAATACAGACAGAGGCTCTCTTGTGTGATCTCGTCCAGTTTCGTCATCTTCAGCAACCGCCTCACTAAACGGCTGGTTGCTTCGAGAGCTTCAGGCAATCTTCGGGTCGTGGAATCACACCTCCACGCCAAAATCTGAAACTGAAGACTCCACACCTGCAACTCCCTAGTTACAGGCTTTCAGTGTATAAGTACAGAGGTCCCCAAAACTCCTTAAAGCTATACTCATACAGATCTTAGTGCGCCGCGCAAACTCGAAGAGAGGATCCTTCTGCCTCTGCTCCATAAGGGCCTCGAGGGAGCTCTTGTTCCCATTTCGAGCCATGCGGCAGAAGCCGGAAGACTCGGAAGACGCGCACCACCCGGCCGGCTCGGAAGACAGTGAGATCGCCTCCGTTCGGCGGAACTTACAGAGCAAGTCGGCTTGTAGAGATTTTTTTCTGCTTCCCACCTAGCTAGGACGAGCCCGCAGTGCATGGGAGTCGGCTTATCGAGTTTATGGGGTTAGGGTTTTGTACCCTCCGAGTCAGAGATCGGGGGTCTCAAAGGGGTTTTCGCCCCCTTCGGGTTCAAGCCTTCGTATGTATTTTTGGGACGACAAGATGAGAACCATGATGACGGATGGCCATGGGGACTCGACATTGCCTGATCTTCTGGTGGTGCAAATGTCGAGAATAACGACTACACCACGATCATACAATATATATATATATATGTATATATATATATATAATATTATAATATGTGTATATCAATAATATATATATATATATATATGCATATATATATATATGTTTGTTTATAATTGTTTTATATTTACTTATTCATATACATATATAAGAACCCCCCACCCGAAATTGGCTTCATGCCTTCGAAGTCCGGGCCGATGTAGCCCATGTTGAAGAAGTCCAAAGACACCAAAGTAACATCCAGGATGAGCCAGGTCTTCAAGTAGCGCCAAAAGATCGCCGCGCCTTGGTCGGGCCATGAGAGCTCCACGACAAACAGCGCAAACAACAATCACAGCAAAGGCAATCACACCAACACTGAACACACATCTGCCAGGCATAGTTCCACTCCGAAGGTGCTGTCTGCATATTATATCACAACCAAGGAAGAAATGGAGCAGCAAAAAAGAGCCTAGCTCCTTTGCACAGCTAGGGTGCGTGACAGAGTGAGCTTGCCCTTGATGTAGATTGCCGTATTTAAGTTGACGAAGATGTCTGCGGTCCAAAACCTCAGCTTGGTCAGCGCGAAGCGCAAGCTCCACGCCGAAGGAGGTGGAGGGTTTAAGGTTAAGGGGTTTAGGGTTTAGGGGTTTACGCTCTCGCAACTCGGACAATCCAGACGAGGTTCTCGGTGCGCGTCGGTGCTACTGCCAGCCTTACTCAAGCCTTCTCTCGAAAACAGCATAACACAAGTTTAGGGGTTTAGGCTTTAGGGTTTAGGGTTGGTGCACTGAAGATCTTCACTCTTAGCACTATGTGCAACATAAAATTCTTGGAATCACGACCACAAGCAATGCCATGGTTAGAACCATCCTTATCATCCTCACCACTATGGAGCGACGATCGTGTCCATGTCATGCGAAAGCTTCTCCCAATAGTAATTACGTCAGAACGGACATTTGCGTGTGGGGCCCCTTGGCTGCAAGATGTATGGGGATGGGGCCGAGCAACCGCAAAACCCTCTGTCCTACCCGAATAACCGAAGAAGTGTGACCCTGCCCGGCAGTTCCGTAACTATTCTGTCGACGTTAATAAAACCAAAACCCTAGCACTGACAAAGCTTTATGACCCAAGCCTCCGGCAGTCAGTATTCAAGCTGGTTTCAGGCAATCTTGTTGCAGACGAAGATCTAGCCGTGCTTGCAGACGGTCAACTAGAATAGTTTCAGCTAGGTACAGTACTTGGAGGTTCATGGGTAGTTAGCAGTAGGGTTGTGAGTAGGATAACTATGGTTATAACCTATATTAGGGGACTTATCATAACTACCCATGAGCCTCCAAGTAGATAGCAGTATTTAAACAGCCTGGAAGGCTCCGCCTGAACTCAGGCATGCTTGCGCATCACTCGGATCCCTTGGGGTTTTGGCTTTATGGGGAGCTCCGTCTTTCCAGAAACAAATGGTAAGGGAATCCAAACTTCACCCTGCCCGCTGCCCGTTCGGGGGGGGGGGTTAGGGTTTAGGGTTGATAAGATTGAGACTTTGGCCGCCAGGAATTTCAGGGTCTAGTCATCAGCTGTCTGAAAAGACAAATGGCACGAGGCTGCACCAAATGGATAATGCCAGGTATGCACTCCCAGCATCGTCGAAGGACATCCTGAGATGCCCAAAGCATGGATATGAACCCTTGGGGCTGAGAAAAGAGAAAGGTCGAGAAGCACTGCATCTTAGGCTGGCCTGGGGGTATGCCAGGGGCAGCACTCCCCGTACTTGTCCAAAAGCCATCAAAAGCCGGCCAAGCAATAACTATCCATATTCCGATTGTCGACACATGCCAACACAAGACCGATCATGGTCAGCGCCTATAGCAAGCCTAGGCAACTAGTTATGATATATGCTGAAAAAGCTGATTGAAGTCTCGCGTCTTCCAATCCCAGGCCAGCGAGACCTGAGAAAAGTGCATAACTTCCTCACCAGCCTGGACTTTTGCAGCTTCACCACCCCCTTTTAAACCACGATTCGATGGGCAGAGGCCTCTCTCGACTGCAAGACTAATACATGGATAACACTGCGCCAGAACATGTTTAGGTCTTACAAAGGACTGAAGCGTACTGTGTTGCACAGCTCACTCTTGCAGCAGCTCGAGCTTCGAAAGCAGAAAGCATCAACATATTATCGGTAGGTTAGTCCGGCTAGCTTAGAGGTAAACGAGAGGTCAGCGTCTAAACGCAAACCCAGACCCAGACTTCTACACCGCTAAACCGTCCAAAACCCCGAAGGCAGGTCTTAGTCTTATCTGCAGTTGCTCGTCTGGGTTCGGAGGGCTCTGGGATTTGGGACTTGCAGATTTCGGTCGTAGTCCAACATTCACGCATGAGAACCATTGGCACAAACAGACCGCCGCCGACAGCAAGCAGCAAGGGCCACAACGAGACCGTATACTTGAGAACGATCCTGTCACAGCCTTGACATCAAGGGCTGCAGACCGATGGTGCTACTCATGTCGGCGGGAAAAGCTACAGTATTGCAGCTGAACACCGTGAGCTCTACTCATCCCGGTCTGCAAACCATGGACTTGCAGCGTTATCGGGTTTGGTCTGTCAGCCAATATCCAGATGGCTGCTTGGGCGCTTGGCATGCCTCGCATAATCCAACTTATAAACCATTTAAGACCGCCCACCGGCAGAAGGATGGCATCAGTCAGGAGCAGGAAGAGGCTGAAGAAGTCCTGCCCAATCAACTCTAATTTTGTAGGTCAAACAAAACAAAACTCGCATAGCCTGCTGATGGTTAACTAACTTCAGCTTGCAGTGCATCGAACGGGACGCTGCTGGGGTTCTTTTGAGCCGGTGTGGCAAAGGAGCATTGGCTGCCGCCTCTGTCTAACGTCTTGGCAGAGTGTAGACGAAACTGTGTGCTACTGTTGCTTGGCAGCTGTCCCACTTTGCCAAGCAGTTGAAGGTCGTGTGGCTTGTCCGGTACCGTCGCTACTTAGGCGGCGACTGGCGTCGTTGACCACAATGCTTCTTGCTTTCTGCCCGCTTCTGAAGTAAAGTTTGAAGCTACAGCCGATACATAGGCAACCCCCCAAACGAAGGCGAAACCCAACCACGAAGTGGAGTTCAGGGCTACTAGGTCAGGAAACTCCGTAGTCGCACTGTATGTTTTCGTGGTATGCCGGAGTCTAGCTAGAGCCGCAACCATATGGGGAACTCTGTCAGTAGTTACGTAGGCTAAGGGTTCAAGGTTCAAGGTCTCATGCTCAAAGCACGGGTGGCTCCAGTTCTCAACTCTGTACTCTTGCCTGAAGCCGGAGTGCCCATGCATCCCGTGCATGATAGACCCTGGCTTTTTGGGCTTTGGATCCCTTCGCGTTCCGTCCGTCATCGGGCATGTGGTTATTGATTATCATTGTAAGGCCGTCCTTCCGTCTGCAGGTCTTGGGTTTAGGGATTAAGAATGGTCTTGCCCCCAGCAGGAAACCCTTCAGACGGTCCCAGCAGATTCGGAAGTTTCCCTCGGGATGCCTGGGCTGAACAAGACTTCTCAACTTCAGGTTTCTTGGGCTTTCCTAGAGCTGAGGCACCATCCCAGGGGCAATCCCCCCCCGAAACCTGGGCTGTCTTACTTAAAACGCTATCCCAGGGTTTAGGTTTAGGGTTTAGGGGTTTAGGGCTTAGGGATTGGGGTAGTTTTGTGATTCAGAGTTCGGGCGCAACAAAGCTGAGAGCAGAGGCTTACAATCTCCAAGCCCCAGTGTTCGGGAGGACCGACGGAGTCAGACTTGACGACTGAGGGGCTTGCCTTCATCTCAGACATCTAAGGAACCTCAAAAACTTATACTAATGATAATAAAAATATATGTATAACAAGGAACTCCAGAGAAAACTATCGGCAATTGCCTATAGGCTTCTTCGTTCCAGTGCTTTCGAGCATAGGCTGGGTCATTACAAGTGACTGATATGTACCCCCCTCAGAACCATGATAAAAATACTAGTTTGAATATTCTCTTGGGTTTTAAATGAAACAAATCCCACGGAGACTAGAATAATGACTCGGCGATCAGGAGTGATGGCAAAGCTTTGGGCAGGCAGTGCCCCAATCCCCTTGACCGAAAGTCTGGCTTTTGGCGGAGCTCAGCAGGTCATCTTTTTTGCGCAGTTGATCTCGGGAGCGTGAATACGAGGACACATATGACATGGCGACGCTGCTTGAGATGATGAAAGAGTACCTGCAATCTCGAAGCAAAATACCCAATCTACATCCTGGCTAGTCTGAGAACCCCTGTTCCGAATCTTCAGCACCAAACTTCAGCAGATCGCACGGTCCAGGGTTTTAAGGCAACCTAAAACTTCGCAAGATCCAGACCCGGGATGTCTGCCAAGATGCAAGGGTCGTCGGCAGAAGGGTTCCTCAAATCCTGGCGGAGCTACGATCTGACGGCTCTTTGCTAAAGTGCAGGACTTTGGCCGCAAGGAAGAACTGAGCGTCTGGTATATGGAAGCTTCTTAAAATAGGGACCCTAACAATAGTACCCTAGAAAAGTAGGATCCTTATCATAAGGACGCCCAAGATAAGGTACCCCTAAAAGCTGTCTATGAGCAGGTAGCTGCCCGGTCCTGTGGGGCTGATGGCACGACGATATGCTGTGGGGACCGAGTTATACAGTTGTACGACCCATGCATCCCAAACCCGACCATTACATTGCATAAAAGGGGCAATGATGAAGCAAGACCCCTGCTTTGACAATCATGCCGCACCTGACCTCAAGGCTGTTATATATTATAGAACCCTACTATAGATCCCCTGTAGACCCCTGTAAGGGAAGACTGTTCTATCAATTCAAGCCCAAACCTAAGTCCTACACCCTAAACCATTTGTGCACAAACTTGTATAGAACCCTAAACCCTAGAAACCCTGAACCCTGAACCCTAAACGCTCAACCCAAAGCCCCGCTGCCTTGGTCAGAGATGTTGAAGGAGCGCTTGGTATTGAGCCTCCTGTCACATGCCGGGACCGAGAGCACGGCTTCCCAAGTATCATTGTGGTATATACTTAGACCCCCAAAGTACCCCATAAGTATATACCATAATGATACTTGGACGTTTTGGGCTAATCCTTATTAGGGTCTAGGGGTTTCGGCGCTCACACTCGGACAATCCAGGCGAGGTATGTGGTTCGGAGTCTGACGTGTGAAACTGAACTAGACGGAGTAGTCCTGATGGTAATCAGCAAGCAGTCTATCCAACATGTGAAGTAACTGTGCCTTCGCTGACTTTACCCCTCCCAGGATCCTACGATTGATGATGAAGCAAATGTCGAAAATCAGGGTTTATACGGGATCAGTTTTTTTTTTATTGAAGGGTTTGCAATGTGAAGAGAATGCTCTCTAGGGAGATGACAGAACAACCTTAGGCCCGCTGGTGAGTCCGATAATTAGACCTTTAGAGGGCGGGCTTTCGAGCAGCCGCGGTCAAGGAACCAAGATCTTCAACCCCCGCAACTTCCTGCAGCAAGTCAGAACCCCTTTTGCAACAGGCTTCGACTTCGCCCGGAGTCAGAACCCCTAAACCCTAAAACTGTGAAACCCTAAACCGTGAAACCCTAAACTGTGAAACCCTAAACCGTGAAACCCGAAACCCTAAAAACTGTGAAACCCTAAACCCTAAACTCTAAAACCCTAAACCCTAAAACTGTGAAACCCTAAACCGTGAAACCCTAAACCGTGAAACCCTAAACCCTAAAACCCTAAACTGTGAAACCCTAAACCGTGAAACCCGAAACCCTAAAACCCTAAACCCTAAAACTGTGAAACCCTAAACCGTGAAACCCTTTTCCACAGGCTTGATTAGTGCTCGCCCGGCCAGGATCCCCAAGCCTAAACCCTAAACTCTAAAACCCTAAACCCTAAAACTGTGAAACCCTAAACCGTGAAACCCTAAACCCTAAAACCCTAAAACCCTAAAGCCTGAAACTGTGAAACCCTAAACCATAAACCCTAAGGGTTCTCCTCACAGTCTCATGTCCGATAGTGAAGCCCGAGCAGTGAGTCGACAGCTGCATCCTCGAGAGTGCTTGGAGTAGTCGGTGCCGTGGCTTTTGGAAGTCGCACTTAATATAGGGGCCTTAATAATTAGAAGTAGGGTTCCTTTAATTAAGGGGTCTATAAGGGTTACTATCAGGGATCCATAAGGGTAGTATACTATTATAAGGCTTAATAATTAGAATAGGGTTTTGGTGCCCGTTTCCTATAATTATAATCGGGAGCCACCCCAAAAAAAATAGTATTGGTAATTATATTTAGGCCCTATACTACTACAAGCCGGTCGGTCGGAGGGGACTCTGGACAACCAGGGGTTTCTGTTGGGCAGGTCGCAGGCCTTGTCAGAATGAAGCGGGAGAAAATTAGGGCTACCTTATTCGGGGGTCCGTAGAATAAGGATCCTACTATTTAGAGCCCTATTATCAGGGTCCCCTATTTTCGGAAACTCCCACAGCGAAAGCACCAATAGTACGATCTCACTCCAGTAGCTGACACAGGAACAACTGCCATTACACAGTGCACCGCATTTTAACACCACCACACTTCAGATTTTTGGCCCGCACATTATAGTTTTCAAGTGACGAGCACTGAACTGCTGAGACAGGGCCATGAAATCAGGATCCCTATTCCAGGAGGCCCATACCCCCACCCACCAAAACTCAACAAGGTTCACACGCCCTGCACCGCCTGAACCTCTCGCTGCCCACCTACGAAAAGCCCGCGAACAAAAACACATGCGACAAGTTTTCAGAGAAAGAGCTGCGAATTCAAAACCACAGAGCTTGTACTGCAACGCCTCTAAGTCTTAAGCCATAAATACAAACCCGAAGTTCAAAGCCCTGTACCCTTGAGTTCCAAGCCGACGGGCTTCGAAGTCTCTACCCTAGAATCCGAAATCCTAAACCCTCAATCTGAATAACAACCCCCAGTACCGGAACTGAACCCTCCCTGCTCCGTCACAGCAACCTCCTTCTCTTTTGTTGAACCCTAACCGCAAGACCTCTAGTAGTGACCGCGACAAGTCCAACAAGTAGCACCCACCAACAGCCTTCAACAGCCAAAGCCCTACCCAAACGTAGGAAACTGCCCTAAAATCCATCCAACCCGCTAAAAACTCTTTCTCTCACGAAAGCCTTGGAAGCCTAAACCCTAAACCCTCGCTCTTCTGCCGCCAGAGCTGCCAGCGCCCATGCAAGCGAAAGGCGCTAGCGGAGTCCTCCTCTGGACGGCCGCTCATGGTTCCTGAATTTGAGGGCTTTAGAGTAGCCTATATACATACATACATAATCGGTATACTATAAGATACTGTGTATAGGTATCCATACCATATTACATTGTCTTACACTGTCGAAAATGTGTGTGTGTGTGTATATATATATATATATATATATATGTATTTGCACATATCTGCTTGCTTATGTATTTATCTTTTTTTATTTTGTTTTGGCAGGTGGTTCCTTTTTCGGGGTTGGGCAGTCTCGGTGCGAAGAAATACATACACCCCTTTACAACAAAAGTAGGATGCAGATCCAAACTCTCACTGGGCTGTGAGGCTTGAGAGAGATAGCCGTGCATGCTCACTCACATTCGCATGCCACCGGTGAATCCAACACATAGCCTGATTGCCCGTCCCTGCATCCAGGTCTTTTGCGACTGCCGGCCCTGAACTGGAACTGCAAACCGTGCATCGCGGAGAGGACATGCTTTGGGAAGGCGGCCGAGGAATGAGCGTTTGTTCATTCCACTTCAGGTATGTATGTCGGTCTCGTGTTTACGCACGCATTCTTGTAGAGACCAAAGTAGGTGGCAGGACCGATCGCGGCAGAGCTAGACAGAGGTTGTAGAGGCCGAGATAGGGAGTGAACCTTCATGCGCACAGATAGAAAGTGGGGGGGGGAGTGTGCCCAGGTCTTGTTTCAGTTCTTGCCGAGCCTCGCCACTTCGAGTAAAGCCGATTGCTCTCAACACCGGAGTCGCCAACCCCCGTCGAGCTGTCATAGGCCAGTAACACCGAGGGCACGGATGGAGAGAAGCTGTCGACCCCCGGAACCTCAGCAGTGAGCACTCGGTGCTCCCCACATGAATATAAACTGAACAGAACAAGGAACAATCTTCAAAGTCTCGGAGCTCACAAGATCACCTCCAATTCACATATTGCAGACTGTATTTTGCGAGAGTCAGCAACGTTCCACTGCGTGCACTTAGCGTTTCAAACCAGCAGCAGTTAGATAGGTCATGGGCTGGGGTTTTCTATTACAAAGGTGCCGGGTGCTGTTCGGTCCGAGACTGCTTGTGTGGGAACCCAAAGCCTATAGATTTCGATACTGGGCATTACTGGACTGTCTGGTGCCTGCAAGCCTTTTTGACTGCACTAGAGGTCCACCTATTCTGTCCTAACCTCCATTCTGCCCACAAGCATAGAACAGTACCGCGGCGTTGTCTCTGGCGCTTCCTTTCCACATCCCGAGGCTTGCTGAGTTTGGAGCTTGAACCACCAAAGGTGCAAACTTCGCACCAACTCCGAACCCTAATCCTTATATAACCCCTTCACCCTACACCCTAAATCCCTAAACCACACACTCTTCTTTTGAGCATGGCTGCAGCGCGGATTGCCCTGATCCTTTAGCCAAACACTTAACCCTGCAAAGTCGCTGTTGTTCCGAGGGCGAAGTCGCTCGGCTGCTGAGAGACGCCACCTCCACGCCCCGGTGGAGTCTATGCGGCCCCAAATTAATCTTAGAGCTAATATTAAGGAGACCCTTGTGTTGAGGGTATACGCTCTCGGATTTTCCAGACGAGGTCTCGGGTTCGAAATAAATTGTCTGGTCAGGTACTAGTTGTTGGTAAAAGGCCTTGGGGTTTTGGGGGACAGTTGGGGATGTCCCCTTTAATTCAAGGTGTCTCCCTAATACTACCTGGGAAAGTCTAGGAATTTACGACTGAAAGGGTCGGAGCAATACTTGGCAGACTGAGAGCAGATTCCAGAAGAGGTAGTAGGAGAATGAAGCAAAGCGTCGCGATCTACAGTTGGGAAACATCCTGGACCCCCTAACTACCCTTTATTGTAGACCTTAACTACCTCTTAACCCTTCATTATAGCCCTTAGTTGCATCTTATAGTGAGAAATATCAGAGCTCTTTAAAGGGTACTTGGGGGGGTCTGGTTCACACCAAGCTGTGGGGAGGCTCCTCTCAAGGTCCTACACGCAGACGAGCTTGGCGACAAAACCATGGAGGGGCCACTGCGAGGCAAGAGACGCACATCGGACTGGACCCAAGAGACGTACGAAGTGGAAGAAGCGAGAGGCAACAAGGACACAAGCAAGAAAGAAACAGCCTAAGCATGACAAGAAGCAGGCAGAAGCACCGACAAGCTTGGAGCGCCTAGATTGGTGCTGTTGTTGGTCTCCACGGCGTGGATCGCATCTGGGATTGGCGAAGCTCCTTGCTGGGAGGGAGTGGCAAGCATTTATGTCCAGTTCCGGGCACTGTACTGTGCGTTTTGGTTTACCATGAACTTCGGATAGTTGGAACATGAGTTAAGGATGCCATGTGTCCCATACTATATGCCTCACGGATCCTCACGGGGATCAGCTCGCATGACGTGACAGTTGTCCACATTTCTGGCTGCAACCTCACTCTTACTGACAGAACATCGTATGTAGGAAGTTTTGCAATATCTGGTGTTCAGTGTCACACACTATCACATGCTCGGGTTTCCCACTGTAGCTTACTATTGAAAGGGTGCAACGTGTCGAAAGCTAGCTTCGCCTGAAGTCACTATCATGGACAACAGGTGCCGAAATTAGGGCAGGAAAAGCAGGCAAAACGAACTCATTGGCTCGCATTGCAGTGAGTATACCCCGTGCTTGCGGACTGGTTACCATAGACAAGTGATTACGATAGCTTGCATCCCATATGGACGAGGCTTAGCATGGTCTGGCATTAGCAGTCCGAACTTCTAATGTAGCGGCCTTAGAGATTAAGGCTTTGGGGCCCATTATAGTTGTCTGCTTCAGACTCGTCGTTTCGGGGCGCCTGACTTACGCGCATCCACCTCAAAGATGCTGCCAGCTGTGCGCAAACCTCGGTTCATTCGGCACGGCTCAAGTTCCTAATTCCGGTGGTCGAGTTTCGGAGCTAACAATTCATTCTAAAGCAGCTTACCTGTGAGCCTTGTCGACATTGCAGCTTCGCGCTGAATGGTACCAGGTTCAAGATAGTTGCGGTAACAGAACACTCATACTCATACTGAGACGGATACAAATGTTGACACTAGTGCTGCTACATACTGGTAGTGATACTGAAGCACATTTCAAGAAGCAACGCCACGTACATATACTAATACCAATTAGTACCCATCTCAATACTAATAACTCGTATGCTCCTACAAAATAGACGCGCTAAAACTAATTAAATCTATTGCGAACACTAGTGCCGCCCGCCACTAGTTACCCAACACGGCACCAGCACCAGCACGGCGCCAACACCAGCAGCATCAAAAGCAGCAGCAACAGCAACAACAGGGCATAGTCCATGGTGCTAGCGGTGCCGACCATAGCTTGTAATACACGAAAGCCCAGAAGTCTGCATGAAAGTGACCTTGGCCTCAGGGGGTTCTTTTGGGTCTTCGCGGCCACAGGAGAAGAAGCTCCCCGCCTGACGTGAAGGAATTTACGAATCTGAATCCGGATTGAAACCATCAACACAAAGCCGCCAAAACCTCTACTGATAGTGATTGTACTGATAGCTACAGTGATAATAGCGGCAACACCATAGAACAAAAAAACAAGCATTGCTTGCTATCTCGAATTCAGACAACAGGCAGCAGCAAAATCCAAAAGTCTCAAAACAGAGCTGCTTGCAAGCCTGCGGCTGTCTAGTTTCGCCGTCACTCGCTCGTAGCTCTGGTCCTGAGCAGCGGGAAGCGGGCAAGCAGTAAACAAGAAAGCGAAACTAGAGTACTACTACCATTACTATGATTATTATGATTATTATTACTACCACTGCTGCTACCAGTAAAGTACTACTACTCCTCCTACAGCTGCCGCTACTGCTATTGCTACTGATGCTACTGCTACTGCTGCGACTAGGTTCTAGGGTTTGCGTAGAATGGCCGTAGGGTAGCGGGGGTTTCTTGGGCCTGCACGTGGGATTTAGGGTGCAGGGGTTCTGGACTGAGGGTGACAAGGGTGTACAGTGGCATAAAGGTTGGAGATCTTATGGGGTAGAGGGGTTGGACTGGTGTTTCTCGACCCATTCGGGCGGGTTCAGGCTTTGGATGCGAGACGTGCCATTTCAGGGAGCGGGGTTGGGGACATTCCCAAAATCGCACCGTGAACTCCAGCCCTGCAAGTCCCAAAACTGCACTGTATTTGCAATTACTATGTAGGGGCCCTAATAATTAGAATGGGGTTCCTTTCAAGGGTACTCTACAGGGGTTACTATATATAAGGGATCTATAAGGGTACTATAATTCAGGGCCTTAATAATTAGAATAGGGTTTTAGGGTGATGCGGGCGAAAGCCTGTAGACGAAGAGCGAAACGAAGGACGACATATGCATCCTCAAAGAATGCATATATACACATGGGCTTGGGGGGTATATTATACTAAAATTGTAATAAGGAACTCCCAGAGTAGCATTGGTAATAATTTAGTCCCCTATACTACAGCACCCTACTGTAGATCCCTTATAGACCCCTTCAAAGGAACAGAATAGTATAGGTAATTCTGTAGGCCCCTACATTAGCCGAGCCGCAATCTCCAGCTGCAGGGAGTCCAAAGCGTCCCAACTGGATCCGACAAAGCCGGCCATGGCACCGAAACGTTACCCTAAGGGTGCAAGTGCCGAAATGGTAGTGTCAGATACCAGAAACTGCCAGAAACTCAGAAGTACGGTATTTGGCCCTGGACACGTAACTCGTTGGCTACGTGACCTGCAAGGGGCAAGATCTGACTCGTCTAGACCTCTCGTGACATGCTTGAAATCTCTGATTGTCATCTACTCTAATTTAAACATCTCTAATAACAACAGACCCAGGAGAGCTCAAAATACGGACAACCGTCTTGAGCTTTATCGCCCCTGCAAGATGCAACGCGGAAGCTTGCCTCTGTTGCAGATTGAATCTAACAGGTGCATGTACGAAATCCGTTCGTGTGGTGCGCGCCCGGTATCCTGTACATTGTTCCTGCAGCCCAAATGCCACGCCGACTTCGTCTCAAACCGATGTTCCCACTAAAGCACATACCACTCCTCAGCAACCTTCCGACCTCGGGAAAAAGATGCAACATGATGCAACTACATCTCAAACTTATGTGCTCAAAGACGTCAAGATCCAGGTTCTCTCCTTCCAAAGGCTTAGCATGCAATGCAGAGTTCTATGTATACCAGGTTTGGGGAGGAGCCGGGTCAAGAAGAGAAAGGATAATATCAGGGGCCTTAATAATTAGAATAGGATTTTTTTTTTTTTGGGGGGGGGGGCATATTATACTATGATTACAATATATAACCTCTAAAACCCTATTCTAACTATTCAAGCCCCGACAGTAGAGGCTGAATCCGATTCACGCCCAGTAGCAGGTTGATCTTCTGGAGCCTGGCTGCTGCTGAATCGCAGAAAGCCAAACCCTGGGGCTCAAAGTATACAAACAGGACCTACTTTGGGGTCTTTTTCTCTTTCTCAGTCACACGGACTCAGATAACTTTGGGGTCTCAAGTCTAGAAATACTACCTACCTGGGGCTCCCAAAAGCCCAAAGTGGGTAGTATTTAAAAGACTTCAGACCCCAAATTTGGTCCTATTTGTCTACTTGTAGGTCTAGGGACAGAAATTACTGCCTTAGGACTCCAAGACAAAGAATTCAGAACCGAACGTGCAGAGTATAGAACACATTGAAGTCGTCATGGCTGACCCGTAATTTAAAATGACCTAAAACTTTGCGGATCGCTCTAAGCTCTAAACCGCTCCACGTTTTGGTCCAGGGTGAATCGGCAGTGCATGGGTATAGAACCTCAGTGCACCGAGCTCTCCAGACACGGAGCGCGCGTGTTGGATTCCAGCAAAGAGCCGGCTGTGGGCTTTCTGATAGCGGATGGCCAGAGAAGTCAATTGCGGGGTTCTTGTCAAGGGATTTAATTTATTTAAGTTACCATGATAAGAAAACCATATTATTTACCCTACTACTACTATGGTAACTTGAATAATTCCTCGACAAGAACCTAGATTTGGGTTCGGGTTTCGGATTTAATCAGCTGGGCTTTGGGGTTTGAGGCTCCCAGTTAAGGACTCCCACGGATGATGCAGCTGAAACCCAGGCTGCGCTTCATTAGGCTGAACCATGCTAAACGCGAAAGCACCTCTCCGAAATATGTCTTCGGTTGGCTCCCAGCAACCCGGATATGCATAGCTTCAAGCGCCACAGACACTAAAGCATCTTCGCTGAAGAGTTGTGACTTGAATTTGGGGTACAGCTCCTCGAGTCTTGGTCCATTTTCCGAATGGTTGTGGCCAAACTGGACCAGCTCTTTTTCCATAGGCACACGTCCCGGAAACGGACCAGCGGGTAAGAAAGCTACCTCCCGCTGCACAGCTCTACCTCCAAGTTCCCAGCAGTGTGCTTGGAGAGAGCTTTTCCCAAGCCTCTAAGCCTAAACCATCTTTTCTAAACCATGTCTGATCCTGTTTTGCAACATGGGACAGTCAAACTCAAAATGGCCGATGAGCAGGTGCAGGAACCTGTACTCCTCTGAGGTTTAGGGCAGTTTAGGGCCTACCGTGCAAGCCTCCTGTCAGTCGCTGTTGGTTGTGATCATTTGCCGGCGCGGTTCTCATGCTTTGGTTTGGCAGTTTGGCAACTGACATTCTGGTTATCGGCTGTGTGCTTGTCAATACACTTTCTGCGGCAACTTGTTCAAATTTTGAACTGTTCAATACCCCACGACAGCTTCCGTATTGTTGACCACACATTAACGCCCGTATCTGCTGGAAACTTCGGTGAGTGTGTAGCCATGCACGCAGGTGAAGCACGGGTTAAGCCGACAATCGGGCTGTCGGGAGTCTCCATTGCACGATGACCTCCTGCGCTGTCTCCCCGTGGCTCCTATGAAGTATCTGGCCAAAATGCCGATGGCAGAAAACACTGCCCTGCATGGAGGAAACGAAAGCAGTCGAAAGAGACCGTTGGAGGTAGATCCTAGAAGCAAGCCTGCACAGCTTAATGCAGCACTGGTTCTGGTCAACACAACTCGCGCAGCAAGGGTAGCTCTCTATCGAAGGTAACTATCCTAATCACTTCTGCTAGAATCGCTGCTAGAACATTTCCAGCAGCTTCAAAGATGTGTAACTGTGAAGGCTCGCCTCCTGGGGGATGCAGCCAATGTTACGACTGTTATGATCTTGGTACATGTCCCAAGACACTGTAAAAGACTAATTACGCAGTTCGTCAGTTAAGCAGAAAATTGATCAGGTTTCGTACGTGACGGCAAGCGAAGCACCAGGTAGGCGCATGCGGCGCTCTATCACAAGCAGTCCCACAATGGGCGCATCTGCCGGCTGTGTCGGATGCGTAGGCAGAGTGTGCTTTGCAAATCGAGCTCCCGCCGCAGTGCCGTGCGTTGCCTTTTGTGTGGTGCAGCTGTCTTGCGGCCACAGCCCTGTGCGTTGTTGACGCGACATGTGTTACCGCCTCCCGTTGTAGCACTCCCACCAAACTCCCGATTGCTTCCGGCAGCGGAAGTCGTGCTGCTGCAGAAGTACGGTGCGCATTTCGGACTTATGGAGTGGCTACTCTGGGCTGATTCTTGGCACTTCTTGAGTATTAGTATTCAGGACAAAGTGTGCTAGGTGCTGTTTCACTGTCTGGGAGCTTATATATAGCAAAACCTAGTTTACAGGAAAGAAAAAGCCAGATATGCTTAGTACGCCATACTAAAGGATGCAAACTTTGCTGGCTTTGCTGTCAGCAAAGCCAGCAAAGTTTGCGGCTGTTGCACAGGCTTCGGGGCTCAATGAGTTTGTCGAGAACAGGATCAAGCGGAACCGTAAACCTTACGCCCTAGACCCTAAACCCTAAACCCAAGACCCTAAACCCTAAACCTGCGCAGAGTTCACCGTGATCGAGAGTGGGCCCACACCCCACAACCCCGCGATTGGCCGAGGCCCAAAGATCTCTCCTCCGATCCGCAGCCACAATAGTATATAAGCATGAACGTATGTATATATATATATATATATATATATATATGTATGTATGTATACATAAAGTACAATATAAGAATGAATGTGTATGTATCTATATTATATATATATATATAAATATGTAAAGAGATGCATAAATACATACAATAACACACACGCTTTATGCTGTATATTGTGCTACATTACATTATACCATCCTAAATATGTAGTATGTTATGTTATGTTCAGCTACGTTATACTATGTGCTATGTGCTATAACATGAGAGCTCCAGCTCATGTAGACGCCAAACGACGGGATCTTGTAACAAGGATCGTCTCAACGGGTCGACAAATTTGAGAAACTCCCAAGTGATTCCACAACGCGTCACATGAGAATCTGGAACTAACCTGTGCGAACCACACCCTTTCTGGTTATCTTCCAGAACGGCTGACCAACCAACTCGCTTGCAAATCATGCACCCCGGAAAACATTGGGTAGGTTTGGCATCGAGCAAGCTTCCCATGCACAACCCGGCTAAACCTAGCAACAATCAGCGACTCCTGTCTGCATCACGGCCTTCTCAATAGTTTGCGATGGCCAGTGGCAGGAAAGACCGGGTTCCGGAATGATCAAGGGTGTGCCTTACGGAGTATATGGGAGTTTCCGAAAATTAGGGGTACCGTTTTCTGGGGTCCTTATAATAAGGATCCTACTATTTCGACTACTATATTAGGGTCCCCCCCCCTCTCTCGGAAACGCCCATATGTCGGCATCAGACCGGGGTTGTTCTAGACATTTGCCCCCTCTTCTTCTCTGATATTCTGTACCACGATTTAGGGTTTAGGGTTTAGGGTTTAGGCACTTTCAAGTTTAAGGCGGATCATAATCTAGAACAGCCCCTTATATGCTGGGTGGATGTACGCGTCTGGGAATTTGAGACACTCTCTTCGGCATGACCCGCACCGTCAGCTTACAGTCGCGGCTTAAGCATCGCGGTGCAGATCTCTCTCAAGACATGTGCCTGACTCCGGTAGTGTAGGACCAAACAATTCCCAGACTCGCGTGACGTGGGACGCGTGCACGCCTATATGGCGCTTCTCCTCGTGTCGACAACTGTCCCCCGATACCAACTGAGGCTAACTAAGAACAAGAAGACCAAGTCAGCGAACAAGTGCTCATGCAAGCATTTGGCAGGAGGGCAGAAACTCTTCAACTTTACCAAAAACCCTACTTCAGGACACTCTCAGAGTTCCAAACTAGCCGCCCTTTCCACTTTCCTCTATCAGGGTTTCGGCGCTCACACTCGGACAATCCAGGCCAGGCAAACGGTCTGCTCTATCAGGGTTTACGCTCTCGCAACTCGGACAAGCCAGACCCTATCAGGGGTTCGGGTTCGGGGGTTTAGGGCTCTATCAAACGGAACATACTAGATTGACGCGGTCCAAGCCCGCACAAAACTCGCGACAGTTCTGAAAAGCAATAGCTTTAAGACTCGTACCGCACTTGCACTGGCATGCAAACCCTGCATTACTATAAGCACTTCTTCATGGCAGACATGACGACCGTGACCAACAGTTAGTACTGGACCCTGCCTCAGAATTTTCACCGAAACCCTAAAAACCCTAAGTTACCTTAAATATCAAGCCCTAAATTATCAACCATACACCCTAAACCCCAAATGCACTAAATCAGGCCTCCAGGGCTTCAGAGGGCCGGGAGGTTTCGAGTTGTTTTCGTGTGGTTTTTTGGGAGGGGGGGGGGGGGGGGGGTGTCGTCGTTGCAGTAGGCTAGCAGGATTTGGACTCTATAAGGGTTCCTACAAGGGTTTAGGCTTGGGGATTGCCTTCTTACAAGGGTCCCTACACGGGAAGAGTTGCCGTCGCGTGGACGCGTCGTAGTCGAGAGCTGGCCCGCTCCATGGGCCCTGCACATGGTTGTTTTGACCATGGTGATGTTGGAACACCAACGTGCTCCCTGAGCGAATGCAAAAGCTTATGGCGCACAAGTGAATATTTCATTGCGTGTGATGCTTGGTAAGTTGGGAGACAGCCGGGATAAGATGGGGTAAGGCTACCGGGCATGGAACTCTGTACCAACGACAAGTGTCGCACAGGAGCGACACTCTCGGTGAAGAGTTCAAGCCAACAGATGCACAGCTCGTCCATGCATGTGTGTATATTGAGTTGGCATCGGATGTCGCTGGTATGCTGAAGTATTTGTGTCCTCCCTTTCGCAAAAGGCTTCGTACTTCATCGAACAACTAGCCAAAATAAGAAAAAGAAATCGCCCCGGGAGCCAGCAGCCGCCACAGCCGCTTGTGAGACGAGGTATTGCAGGCTAAAAAGGGGTACTTGGAGGTTCATGGGTAGTTAACAGTAGGGCTATAAGTAGGATAACTATGATGATAACCTATATTAGGGGCGGGACTTATAACCACACATATAACTACCCATGAACCTCCAAGTAGTGCAAAGTGCACCAAGCACCCAACTAGACATTCTGAGCCGGGAAAGGCCCAACTTGGCAGCCCTTTGGCTGCTCCAGGTGCCAGGTATCAGCATGCCGTATCAAACACATACTTGTGTATATATATATATATATATATATATGTTTATGTATAATATGTATATATATATATATATGATATAACATATACTATGTATGTATGTATGTATGTATATATATATATATGTATATATATGTGATGGTGTGGACAACGCTGTGTCACATGTGTCAGCAAGCTTTCGGGCGGCATGCGTCGTAGCAGTGATCTGGCGTCCCTGCTTTCCTTGCCCGAGCACAGCAGCTATGCACCAGAGGCACCTTCGAAGGACAAGCCTTCTGCATTTCGTGAAAACCGACCTCGACATCCATCGGACTACCCTAAACCCTAAATAATCAACCTAGACCCAATACTTCCATTTCTTGAACCGAGCAAAATAGTAATAGAGGACCCTATACCCTAAATGGTAGGATCCTTGTTATAAGGACCCTGAGTAAGGTACCCCTAGGAATAACCCAGACCTGCTCAGAGCTGCACCTGCCCCCGCTCCGGGGAGGCTCAGATGGCGAAGGTCAAAGAACGGCGTCGTGGCTCCTTCTTCTGCATGCCTTCAGCGGCTGGGCGGTAGGGTTTAGGGTTTAGGGCCCAGAAAAGACGGACGGCCCGACCAGAATACCAAGTCCATGAATGATGAGGAAAAGCTGCAAAGGGCTCAAACCAACCGCGAATGCCGAGAGTTGGGTTCCCGCAGGCTGCCAGATGGCAAAATGTTGGTTCTGCTTCTCAGCCTCTCAGCATGTCGTCAGGAGCTGTTTAATCGAAAAGACTTGGCCGGTCCCAAAAATGCGACTTAGTTTGTTAAATTCTTCTGAGTGCTACTGTTCACTAGTCGTGTTATGATTATTGGTATAGTATGACAAGTGGTATGAAGCACTGTTCCGCTTACCAGGAAGCCTGAAATCTACATCCCAAACCATCAAACAAAATGCCCCAAGTTTCGGGGGAATCCCCGCTGCCCCAAACGCGGCAACTTGAAAGCCAAGACGGCTTCAGCTTCATGGTTATTCTGACGATTCTTCTTGTTATTAAACATTTGCTAGTCATAATTACTATCACCAACACTGTTATGATTTTCGAACACTATTGCTACTTATCATTCTTATTCCATCACTATACGATACAAGTATCGCTATACATGATGAATATTCGTGGCTGTATTGTGCTAATCACTAACGACTGCCAAGATGGTCGTACTATGAAACTCTGTTTATTCATGTCAGCATAGCTCAGCTTTGGGAGCCTGTTAGGGCAGTTTAGTTATGTGGTGATGTGATGGGAAGCTGCCCCCAGCCAGGATGTTTGTTCAGTTTAGGGTTCTGGGCCTAGGGCTTAGGATAACATTGGGCTGAAAGTCGTTCAACTTCCTAAACCAAACCCCTACAAGCCCTAAACCTTCCAAAATCCCTCGGCGGATCAGGGACACTGTGCCGAACGAGCCGCTTCGGCTGACCTGGTTTGCCAGGGCCTGCTGCCTCCTCGGATAAGTCGTTGGGCTTCGGGTATGTAGGGGCCTTGATAGCTAGAATAGGGTTCCTGTAAAGGGGTCTATGATGGCTACTATAAAGGATCTATAAGGGTACTATAATATAGGGGCCTCAATAATGAGAATAGGGTTTTTTGGGGTACATTATACTACATTCATTATAACGACCCCACAAAAAAAGCAAGCAGTATAGGCAATTATTTATGCCGCTATATTACATGCAGTGTTACAGGAAGTCTCGAAAGGCTCTGTACAAGGACGCGAAACCTGAAACCCCTCATGACAGGAGAGCCTGCAGGAGACCAGCCGCGTAAAGAATCCCTTCAGGACGGTGTAGCAATATGCCCTCAGAACCCTTATGCCACGCTGATACATTCTATGTGTGTGTATAGATATGTTTACATATATTCATTCTCTCCTATTTTGCATATTGTTCGTTGATATGTGCTCCGAAACCTTTCTGATGCTCATGCCCTTATAGAGGGCTTCAATTGGTTTTTGGCTTTTGGATGGGAAGCCGGACATACGATTCCGCAGGTCTCACACCGCGTCTGAATTCCCAAGGTCACCTGTTAAAGTAGCATGAACCACCCTTGGAGTGGAACAGGGTTGAGGGTTGAGCGTTTAGGGCCTTAAGGTGTATGGTTTAGGGGTAGCATGAACTACCCTGTAGGGGTATAGGGTTTCGGGTTTAGGGGTACGTAGCACGAGCTACCCGACCCTCTGCGTCTACTATAAACCTCCAAAATTCCGTCACCGCCGGTATCATACTAAGAGGTGCTTTCAACGCATTTGAAAAATATAAGTAGGTAAGATCCTCGTCTTAAGCCCAATAAGAGCAAATATACAATGCCCCAAAGCACGACCTGTCATAAAATGCTGTACTGTAGGAACCTAAACCCTGGTCCCATATCCCCAAAATAGTAGGATTCATATAAAGACCCCTAATAAAGGCCGAAGGTTTCTTAACCCCAAACCTAAACCTCTAAACACTAAACCCTACAGAAACCCGTAAACCCTAAACAGTGGTTCCTACATTAGCGATGATTCTGGGCCTTTGGCAAGAGACGGCTCGGCGACTGGGGGTCTGAATGTGGCACGGGCCATATGGGAGTTTCCGAAAACTGGGGGGTTAGCATAGGGTTCCTTTAAAGGGTTACTTTAAGGGTACCATAAGGGTTCCTTTAAGGGGCTCTAAAAGGGTTAAGAGTTTCCGAAAACTAGGGGTACCTTATTCTGGGTCCTTATAACAAGGATCCTACCATTTAGGGAAGAGGCTCCCCTATTACTATTTTCGGAAACTCCCATATCCGGAGCCCCAACACACGCCGACACGCAAAGCAACGGAAACGCCCCGACGCTAAAACGCAAAACCAATGAAAACCATAAACTTCAGGGCCAAGACTCTTCCGCAGATCTGTGATTGAGTAGGCGATAGTTGTGATATCTGACTCTGTGTCATTTACCTGCAGTCGCAGATTTTGTTTGACTAGAAGCACAGCGCTGCCTCCGAAGTTTCTAAGACAACCGGCACTGCACATGGAACATGCATCGGGCATCCTCCCAACAAATGCCCATGAAGTGGCAACGTTGAAGGCAATGCCACTGCAAGAGGGCAGAAGATAGTGTATGGTTTGCCTGCATGATCAAGCTGTTGAGTTTGCAATTCGAGCAATATGGGAGTTTCCGCAAATAGGGGCACCTTATTTTGGGGTCCTTATAATAAGGATCCTAGTATTTCAGCACTCACACTCGGACAAGCCTTGGCGAGGTTCCCTGGTCCCACGACAGGCACATGTGGCCCAAGCCATCATACATTGACGACAGCAAACATTATCCGCGCTACGATCAACCTCAACCTGCATCCTGCAGCTATTCGCATCATCCTCAAACTGTGAACTCATCAACACAGAAATCACGGCATCCTCAGTCCAGTTGGCCCCACTGGCAAAATGCCATACATGCAGCAACACATGCACACAAATTCCCAATCCATTCATGCTCGTTGGACGCCCAAATGTCCAGACCGTTGCCACTTGCTGATGAGGGCTCGACAGCTTCATGCAGTTGCACATGCATTCAAATTCTCAAATTCCGTTCATGCGCGTTGTACGTCTAAGCGTCCAGACTGGTACGTTCCTCTGGTTGTAGGCTCGACAGCGATGCAAGGAAAAACGGCCCAGCATCGGCACTCCAGTCAGTAGACACCACAGGGCAGAGGCCCTTCACGCTGTATCGTATGCATCCAAATTCAATGCATCACCCAGATTGCTGCAGTCAGTTTGGTGTAAGCCGTGGTATGCAGAAAGCATAGCCCAAATTCCATGCATGCACAACGAAGGCTCTGTGCTTCCAGACTCGCGTTCAGTGGAGCATGTATTCGGCTGCCAGACATACATCAGTGCAGCATAACAGACTCCATCATCTCGGCCGGGCATCTCCCAAGAATACGTTTTGCGTCCGCGGTGTCAGCTATGGGACATACATCAGGGGCAGCATAACCAGAACAGCCCATCATTGGTCTCTCCGTGGGGAATCCAAGGAGACACACAATAATGAGTGGCATCAAAGCAGTCCCAGTGGTCAGAGCAGTCGTCTAGTCGTCGCGCCAGGGGCCGAAACAGCATTTAGAGCGTGGCATCGTCTGCCATCACAAGCCAGCCAGGACCCAGAGGTGCGAGCAGAAAACTGGCAGTTGTGAGCCATGGCAGAAGCGCCGCGGGCTAGGGCTACCTAGACCCCGAATAGGGAGGGTTGGAGGAGAACCCACAACACGAACGAGAACGCGGGAATGACGGGGCCGGAAAGACCCTCCAAACCCCTGCTTTGGCGTGGTTCCCGGCAGCACTGCCCTGTTTGTGCCCGTCCCCCGATCGCGGTGGTGATGCGGAGCATGAAGATCCTGTCAGGCTTCAGTGTGTTTGTAGGGCAACGGGAGTAGCAGTGGGCTCGCTTCTGGTTCGGCAACAATGCCACTCAGAAACGACAAGACGCTTGGCTTGGAGCTAAGGAACAGCAGGGCATATGACAGTGCAGGCATGTATTGACACTAGAGGGGAGGGTATGGCTATGTACGCTGCAACAAGACGCTGGGGCTATGGTGTAACAAGACTCCATGACCTAGGGAGGAAGGGAGCGGGGGGGGGGGGGGGGGGGGGGGGGGGGGGGGGAAAAGGGGGGAGAGGGCAAAGGGAGAGGGGTGGTTGTGGGTTTGTGTGGGGTCGTCCAAGAAGACACTCGAAGCGGCATTTCTTCTGCTTGGCTGTGGATGCTCGGTACTGTTGCAAAAGACGACCTATGATCATTCCCAAATTCGCAGGCTTAAATTCATATTCTTGAATTCAATGCAGGCATGCTGAAAATTCGATGCACCAAATTCGGGTCTTCACGACACTTGCAGTTTGCATGAAATTCAGGGGCCAGGCGCATGAAAAACATCGCTCTCGCCTCCTACTGTACGAGCATGCATCATCACAGTCGTCGGATGTGCTGCTGAGGGGCCATCGACACATGGAAAACAGGAACATAGAGGCCACAAAGAAGTAGCAAAACAGTGCAACATAGAAAGGATCTCCAGGCCCTCAAGAGCAGCGAGACATTTACAATACATGTGCTCCTAGCATCTGTGCAAGAACCGACCTCGGGATGAAAATGACCTTCCCATCCGGGAGCGTGATCGGGCACAAATATCCCTGCCCTTGGCGGCTCACCATTGGGAGGGACTCGTCCAGGTTCAGCATCGTGGGCCCTGGTCCACCCGCAGTCGCTGCCGCCGGAGCCGGAGGCGGTGGGGCGGCGGGTCCTGGTCCTGAAGCTGTGGCCGGGTCTGCAGTGGGAGAGCGTGCCGTTGGCTCCGCATTCATAGCTTCGATCTCCTTCTGAAGGACTTCCAGCTGTTCCTTGACCGCCTCAAGAAGCCCCCTCAGAAAATTGAGTTTATCTGGCAAGTGTTCGCTGTCCCCCTGAATTCTATCCAGGGATTGCTGAGCCCATCGCACTTGTCCACTGAGCTCCTTGATCTGCTTGCTCAAGGCGTAGGAGATGCCTGAGAGGTCTTTCTGGAGCTGCTCGAACCTCCCGTTCATGCCCGTGGAGAAACTCTCTTGGTTTCGTTGTAGCGGAGTGAGGAATCGTTGAAGGTCCGCATAGTCCTTCACCATCTTCTTGGCCACCGCATCCAAAGCTGTAGAGGTGTTGAGCTTGGCCTCCTCGAGGGCAGCCGAGATGGCACTGAGAGCATCTGTGATGCTTTTGTGTTCACTGCCCGCCAGTTTCGACCCAGCAGAGGAAAAGGCTTGCTTGAGGTCGTCCTTGGCACGCTGGATGGTTCTCTGAAGCTCCAGCTGGTGGCTTGCAAGGGTATTCCCCAAATTCGCGTGCATGGCATGGATTGTGTTGGCCACCTCGCCAACTTTCATGACTTTGTTCATGATGGCTTGCAGACGATTGCGGCCGTCCTCGAATCCATCATTGAGCATGCGAGTCAGGGAATCGTCCACGTCAAGCAGGCCCATGGCCCGTTGAAGGGCGTCCGCGCCAGCACTGCGGGTGGCATAGCCTTCAGCATGAACCAGCGCTTGCAGTTGTTGCACGGCCCGGACCAAATCGTCCAAACGTTGCTGGACCCCCGCACGTCGCATGCAGGGGAAAAGGGCCCACCCCCAGTAGTGGCCAAGGAAGAAGAGACCAGCCAACAAGGCTCCCATCAGACCCGTGAGGAGCATGCACCATACTCCGGTGAGATCCGGCCCATCCTCGCCTCCCTCGGGAAAGCGGTGTTGAGCCTGGTACAAGGCAACAGACATGGCGCCTCAGCACGGGAGTCTAGCTGTAGCCTTCAGTTTACTGGGCGCGTCAGCCAAAGGAGCTGCGCAAGCATGCGGCGTTAGAGCTGGCAGGAGGGGGATGCTTGAAGCAGCATGCGTCCTAGTATCTTTATGTGGCAGAAGCGGCTACCCAGAAGTACCCCAAAAGGCCCTCGTCACAAGCATCACGTCCAAGAACCCAAAGAAAACCCTGAAAACCCTGCCCAAAGTACGCGCCTCGTCGATCATGTAATCGAGCCCAGCGGCCCCCAAGCAGCCAAGGCTCAGGCTAGAGACAGGAACAGGAAGCAGTGCTAGGACGGGCAGTGGATACCAAGTGTTGGGCAGAAAATGCTGGTCCCGAGGGTCAAAGGTATCACCTACATCGTCTTCCAAACATCGCATCATCCCCTATGCGCTGGCAAGCTCGCGGCGGCACATGCTTTTACTCGGCTGCACACGCACAACTGCAAATTCCAACATGCTACATGGCTACAAATTCGGAAATCAGTAAATTCAAGGAATTCTCCAGCAGGCGCGAAGAGTGCGTGTGAAGGCTACACCAAAAGAACGAAGACCCGAGCTAACAAGAACCAAAAGCAAACACAACAAAGCACTCTCGTCCATTGCCTATGCTGAATTCGAATGTATCACAGCAGCTGCAGTTCAGTACCAGTAGGAACGGCAAGTCGGACGATGGGCAGCGCTGAAGACGAGGCACTCCCGTCCACATTCATCCCTTCGAGCGATTGTTGTATCTCGCGCAGAGCATCCAAGACATCGTGCAGCTGCCCTCGCACGTGGCCAACATGCTGTATTCCCGCGAGACCAGACACCCGAGAATGGAGTTCCTGAACAAGGGCATGAGTATTGTCCACTGCCCCCAGTCTGGATCGTAGTTGCAGGCCATGGTACAGAGAGTCCAGGGCTTCACCATGTCTTCGTCGGAGTTCAGCAACGTCGCCCCGAGTCTGGTTCAGGAGGTCATGCATCTGTCTTTGCTCTCCAAGGAGCTGCAGCAAAACAGCTTCGTGGGCACGCATTGAATTCATACTCAGTCGGAACATGCAGTACACCGAGTACATCGCTGCCAAGCATAGCCCAAAGGCCACGGCGCAGGCCAGCTGGAAAATCATGGATGGTGACCAAACCTCTACAGCGGTCAGTATCAGAGCCTAGAGCTGCACAGAACTAGCGGATTACCCACTACATGCAGAGGCAAAAACCCGTGAGGGAAATAAAAAGGAGCAGCCAGAGCACCCAAACTCCGAAACACCGAAATAAGAACAAAAAGAGCACAAAGATTACTCCGGATCGGAAATAACACAATCCCAGTAGTCGGGCTCTGGACTGGCTGCTCCCATGCACATGCTGATGACATCCGACTCCGTATCAGACGGTATCGGTATCGTTGCTGGACAGGAATCCTCCAGGTCGATCGTCACAGGAGGGTGGTGTAACAAGGTGCCCCGCGGCCACACCAGTCTAGGCTCAAGCCTCAGTTGCCTCGTAACCGTGGCCCCCCAAATCTCGTGTCGAAAGCGATCCTCTTCGTGAGCAGTAGGAGGCCGAAAACCAAAAGAGCAGAGCCGGCAGTACAAATCGTCCGAGAGGTTGCACGTACTGGCAGCCGTGCTATAGGCCGACAACACAACCCGGTCTCCTGTCCAGGCACACGTAGCATGAGTAATTGGAAGGGAGTGGTGACGTCAATCTTGATCCCCCTCCGGAAGACACCACCACACAACATCCTTGTATCCCCCAAGTCATGAGCCAGCCACAGCTCGCCACCGCTGTAGCCCTGTGTCAGAGCCAGAAGGACCCCTGGGACCTCAGAGTTGTGGCAGTCCGTATGGGGCGGTGTCATGACATTGTCCAGCACTGTTATCGTGGTAAAAGCTGTATCCGGCGACCAGTGGCGGACAAGCCTCGTCATGAGTCTGGTGGTCAGCGGATACCTCCTACCAGAGGACCGCATCCCAGATCTGGCTCGTTGGAAGCTTCCAAAGGTCAGCACGTAGCCACCTTGTTTGCGAGTCCACTCCGCCTTGGGGATCAGCCGCAGGACGTCAAGGGCCTGAGTCTTGGTGACAAAATCCCCTGCTTCCAGCAACTGCAGAGCGCGGATCTCCGCGTCCTAGTATTTAGGGTACCATAGTAGGGTCCCATATTTTCGGAAACTCCCATATAGTTCATGCATGGACTGGTTGTGGAGGTCGGGAGCTCTGCAGCCTGCTGAGCCGCGTGTGAGTTTCCGTGTCCTACACCCTAAAATCTCTAGGCAGTGCGTGTCCGACGTCCGGTCCTATGTTCATTATTCCTATAGTGTACCCCAGAAAGTTGGAACATGGACTTAGAATGATTAGTGCTGGGATTCCCCTTGCTGCACCTCAAGGGCAAAAGGATAGTAATGTTTCAACTTTCTGGCTTCTACTAGATCTATTGCTGCAATGGTTGTTGTCATGTCATGATCACCGCCTCTGACTATTTCGAGTATGGGCATTTACTAGGTTTCTGAGTAACCCCTTTATAATAAGGCTACCCTTTTTCCTACTATTCGGTTTTAATAAGGGGACCCTAAACTAAAAAGAGCAAAAGGGCACTACTCAGGAACCTAGTTTATGTGCAGGGCATTACAAATGTTTCTTGAACGCCGCGCACCAGTTCCAGAGTTGCCCCAACAAAGGCACCCAGTTTCTCCCCGGCCGAGTTGCACGACCCCAGTTGCCGCCCGTCATTTCCTTGGTCTCTTTGGGTTCCGACGGCTTGCCAGACATCGACCCGAAAGCATAAGATCTTCAGGGCTGAGGGTTTTGAGTTCAGGGGGCGCAGCAGCGAAAGGATGCAGTGCATGCAATAACAGTGCTCGTTCCTTGCATTGAACTGACATGGGAGTTTCCGAAATTAGGGGTACCTTATTTGGGGGTCCCTATAATAAGGATCCTACTATTTAGGGTACCATCTTAGGGTCCCCTATTTTCGGAAACTCCCACATGTGGAATGCATGGGCCAACTGAAACAACGCTTCGGACGGATTATCACCGATCTCATGAGCAGCCGAATGGACTACAGGACAAGTCGTATGCCAAGCGGTGCAAGAGGATGTATTAGGGTTTAGGGTTTATAGGGTTTAGGGTACATTATTGACTGAATTATGCAAACATATGAGGCAGCCTCATAAACGAGAGTGGTCAAAGAACGACAGCTGCAGCAATGGCAGCAGGAGTAAAAAACACAGTAGTAGCACGGAGCATAGCACCGCTGAAGACCGCCAACAGCCACTCCACATGTGTTGGACATCAATGAGGGATAGTGAAGGTGCCAACACGGACACGCGACGCAAAATATGCACAAACAAGGTACGCACACATGTTGTTGTAAACGTAAGCAGCACAATGGATACTCACCATGTGCAACAGAGCACTCACTCGAAACTTCCGGAAACTTCCGCCGGATACTGCATCAAAGGGTAGTCGGCCCAAAGCACCCATGCCCCTACAACTTTCCGAGACGCTCAACCCAAACACATCCAGCCTGCAACCCAGCACCGAACAACGCATGCACCCGACATCCGATGGCCGAACCCCTCGAACAAGCCAAACCATCAAGCTGCAACCACTGGCAACCACTATGAATCCGAGCTAACGCCGGCCATCACGCTCTGTGCCTGAACCCTAGCACGCCCAGAAAATCATCCCAAGCTTCCAGCTGCGCCCGTCGTCCAGCGAAGCGAATCTTGCACCTTGCGCAGCACACCCTAAGCCCTAAAGAAGTCTTCAGGTTGGAGGCTACAGCTCAGAAGCCCTGTGAGAGATTCAATACAAGTGCAGGGGTGACGCTTCAGGGATTTAGGCCCCACTCGCACTGCAGCCTAGGTAATTTATTTCTTCAGGCTTCTATATGAGGCCATGAGCTCACCAATCTGACCGTGCAGCCTATTTCAAACGCCAATTCAAATTCCTGGTATAGATTGGAAAAGCCGCTCACATCTCGAAGCAGCCTACTATCTACTCCATCTTGCAAAGACCCATGCAACCAATCTCAGGCGAGTTTGTGAGTTGCGCCGTACAATTTGAGAAGTACCGGCCTTCATTCCATGCAAGGCCACCATGTTTGCGTTTACGCTCTCACAACTCGGACAAGCCAGCCCATACGCTCTTTTAGGGTTTCAGGGAATGGGGCACTTGGTCAGTCTGAACCCTATACACCATGAGGCCAGGAGATACTCGTGGTATTCCGTATAGTAGTTCCCAGTGTTTTGGCCACCGAAATATGAAGGCATGATCGACTGAAGCGTGCCGCACTGAATTCATAGGCTTCTTTTTTCGGCTTGCGGTCCAACCTGCCTACTCTACCTAAATCCCGACACAAATCTCACAGTGATAGCGGCCGTTATATCAGGCCCCTACGGACAACAAACCAGAAAACTCCTGTCGCTGATGCTTCTGGTGATCCTTCTCCCACCGTGACGGCGAGTACCACTACTAATATCACTGCAGTCGAAACTGTGCTCGTGACTTTCGCGATGCAGATGGTGATGGCGACGGTGATGCTGGTCGTGGCGGGCTGTCCATACATACTCTGCCACTGCTAGCTCATTGAATCCAGCATAATAATAATAAAGCAAGCTTTGGGCTCCGTCGGAACTCTTAAGATTGCCTCGCCCGTGACACACTGCCATTCCAAAACCTTTGGAACATACTACAAAACCAGACCCTGCAAAGATACTCAAGACCCCTAATATAGTGGCGTTAATGATTAGAATAGGGTTGGGGGCCCAACTATATATTACTAATAATAGAGGAACCCCCAAAATTGTATAGGTAATCATTAGACCCCCTATATTATGGCACAAAGCCCTTCTTTGGAATCCACTGGCCCGGCCTGGAAACACAGGTCTCGAAGACAAAGCGGTTCTGGACGCAAGCGATGAACTCACTCATGTCCTGGGTCACGGGCTTGGTGCGCGTTAAGGCTGAGTCAAGGCTTGTCCGGTCTGGAGCCTTCTTGCGCCCTAAAGGAGGATGCCCAGTAACCTAGGAACAACAAGGGCTCACTTGTTGGTATTGGGTAGCTTAAATAGGAACCTAGGGCTCCTAGCACTACAAAAAGTGAATAAGGGTACTACTGGGCATCCTACCCCTCTGAACCAAGAACCCCCGAAACTCGAAACCGGAGAACCCAAAGCGCCAGGCCTGTGGGTCGAAGATTAAGGGTTTGAGTTCATACATGGGGGGGGGGGGGGGGCCTGAAGGGGTTTTTCCCGAAAACCCCTCTGGGGTTGGGTTCTCGTTTAGTGCTCCAACGGGAAGTGCGCGATACCGGCCCCTGTTTTGACGGAAGAGCTTTGGAAGACTAAGCGGTGCACGGGCCTTGATGTCGGGAGACCGAGCGGGGGCAAGGCGCGGACGGCGGACGGTGTGTGGGGGAGGGCAAGACTTAACGACTGCGTGCGGGGAGGGCAAGGCTGGCCAAGGCTTGGCGGCAGGCTGCGACAAGGTGCGGATGGTGTGTGGGGGAGGCGGCTGCCTGCCGACGATGTCGGGTGCGCGGACGGTGCGCGGTGGAGGGCCGACCGAGCGGGGGCAAGGCGCGGACGGTGTGTGTGCTCCAACGGGAAGTGCGCGCGATACCGGCCCCTGTTTTGACGGAAGAGCTTTGGAAGTCTAAGCGGTGCACGGGCCTTGATGTCGGGTGCGCGGACGGTGCGCGGTGGAGGGAAGACCGCAAGACTTAACGACTGCGTGCGGGGAGGGCAAGGCTGGGCAAGGCTTGGCGGCAGGCTGCGACAAGGTGCGGATGGTGTGTGGGGGAGGCGGCTGCCTGCCGACGATGTCGGGTGCGCGGACGGTGCGCGGTGGAGGGCCGACCGAGCGGGGGCAAGGCACGGACGGTGTGTGGGGGAGGGCAAGACTTGCGGGGAGGGCAAGGCTTGGCGGCAGGCTGCGACAAGGGAGGCGGCTGCCTGCCGACTGCGTGCGGGGAGGGCAGGCCTTGGCGGCTGGCTGCGCGGCGGAGGGTTAAGGCTTGGCGGCTGCGCGGGGAAGGGTTGGGCGGTGCGCGCGGGACGGCCGGAGCTTGGGGGAAGCGAAGCGCGATATCGGGTGCGTGGGCGGTGCGCGCGGGACGGCGCCAGCTTGGGGGAAGCGCGAGATCGGGTGCGCGGGCAGTGCGCGCGGGAGGGCGCCAGCTTGGGGGAAGCGCGATATCGGGTGCGCGGGCGGTGCGCGCGGGACGGCGCCAGCTTGCGCGCGGGAGCGCCAGCTTGACGGAGCGCCAGCTTGGGGGAAGCGCGATAGCGGCAGCGCGGACGGTGCGCGCGGGACGGCCGGAGCTTGGGGGGAGCGAAGCGCGATATCGGGTGCGTGGGCGGTGCGCGCGGGACGGCGCCAGCTTGGGGGAAGCGCGAGATCGGGTGCGCGGGCGGTGCGCGCGGGAGGGCGCCAGCTTGGGGAAGCGCGATATCGGGTGCGCGGGCGGTGCGCGCGGGACGGCACCAGCTTGGGGGAAGCGCGATAGCAGGTGCGCGGACGCCAGCTGAAGGGAGGGGGATATCGGGTGCGTGGGCGGTGCGCGCGGGACGGCGCCAGCTTGGGGGAAGCGCGAGATCGGGTGGGAGGTGCGCGCGGGACGGCCGGAGCTTGGGGGAAGCGCGATATCGGGTGCGCGGGCGGCGCGCGCGGGACGGCCGGAGCTTGGGGGAAGCGCGATATCGGGTGCGCGGGCGGTGCGCGCGGGACGGCCGGAGCTTGGGGGAAGCGCGATATCGGGTGCGCGGGCGGTGCGCGCGGGACGGCCGGAGCTTGCATGGGGGAAGCGCGATATCGGGTGCGCTGGCGGTGCATCGGGGGCGCGGGCGGTGCGCGCGGGACGGCCGGAGCTTGGGCCTGGGTGTTCAGGAGGCGACCGCAGCCGCTGCCGCAGCTCGAAGATTGCGGGACGTGAGAAAAAAACGTGCGGACTTCCATTCTGGCAGTCTTCTTTTCGCCTGGGTTTTCGGGTTCCCGGCTTGACCTTGTTTGGGGATTGTATACAGTGTATACAGTCTTAAATATCCTAGAAACCCTGAAGGGGGAGTATTGATCATTCTTCAGGCTTCTACTACGTCCGTTCACGAACACTGCCCAGTGTCTGATAAGTCCACCAGCACGACTTTCGCATCCTTGAGATCCGGCATCATGTCCTTTGGAGGCTGAGCTCTCTGGTTTCTTCAAGTTTAGAAAGGGACCTTCACATCCGGCTGTAAGGTAGGATATGCCCTCTCGCAGTCTGGCGAGCCCAACAACAACTAGTACAAGCACACCAGCAAGAGGCCCATCGTTGTTAACTTAACTTCCACAACACGACACTTGACTCCATGAGGCCATAGTGTTGCAGGGGAACAGGCAGCCAAGTCAAACAGATCGTTAGACTGTGCCGCATCGATTTCAGTGGCCACGAGTTCTGTAAGCAATTTGGAACGAGACCTTCTTCTGCCTTCATTACTACCAGACTGCTTCACTTGCGGAGTTTGTGTCTGGCCCTTAGTAAATTACCTAGATTCTGACATGTAGCACCTTTTTGGCTACCTTAATATCTTATAGGGAAATACCTTGACCACAAGATAGGTCATCCGGTAAAAGGCACTAGATTTAAGGGTCTAGGTTCTAGGTATTCGCCGAATCCTCAGTCAATGCCGCTGTTGCAAGGGGTTGCCGAGTGGGGGTCAGACACGGATGCACGTCACATGCAGCTGAGATGCGATGTTGGGTTGAAGCACATGAAGCAAATCCACCAGGCATTCGAGCAAGCACGACAATGTGACTGCAGGATTGGCAACTGCATTCGCCACGCCTCGGCTGCTGATTTGCTGCGGGATGAGACCTACAGCCCGCCGCATCTACAGTCTTAATGAACTCATGTTCTCGCTGCAGTCGGTCTGCTAATCGTCGCCTGGTTCACCAAGTGCTGCACGGAAATACATGTATGTGTATACATGAATATACATATCTATATATATATATATATATACAGACGCGACATTTAAACATACACGTTACCCATCTACTCACACACAGATGTTTCCGCTGCTGCTAGAGAAGCATCCCTCAAAGAAGGAATTCCCAAAGCAAACACTTCAACGAAGAACCGTAATTACGGTTCAAGCAGTCGAGAAGCAGTCGGGAAGGAACTCAAAGACGCAGACCAGGTCCTGTGCGCACCAATGCTACAAGCTTAACGATTCCTCACATCATTTATCAAATCGTCACCTGCACTATACTACACTATATGATGTTATGTTAGATTCTACTATATACTATATGATAACATGTCGAGTTCTAGGGTGTTGTATCACATAATAATAAGCGAAAGAGGATGCCAAGGATGTTGCATTTCGTTCTGGCCGGCCCCGACCCTGCCAAAACTTCTCGAATCCGAAGTCTCATGAGCGTCCCCGCAAGGAAACTCAGCAGAAACCCACTGTCGGACTCAAGGCGTGGAGAGATAAGACGCCCGGAAGATTCAGGTGTAGATGGGCGGATACCTACCCCCGACCCCCGCCCACCCCCGAGCTAGATTTTGGATAGTCGAGAGGCTTGGGCTAGCACTCCCAACCTGAACCTATCTGGCGTTGGAGAGGGGTTTAGGGTTTAGGGAGGAGTCACCCCAAGAGAGCCCGACCTCAATCCCGTCTGCCAGGAAGTGATTCGTGAGCGTGAGCTGCTCATCCGGGCCCAGATAGCTCCAGCCTCACAAGGACAGAGCTGAGCTGGAGGATCTCAAAGTCGCAGTTTTGCTCCGCTCATGTTGGGAGTTTCCGAAGATTAGGGCTACCTTATTTTGGGTCCCTCATAATAGGGGGCTATTTAGGGAACTATGTTGGGGTCCCCTATTTGTTTTCATGGGCACCCAAGTCTCGAGCGCAGTAGGAGACGAGGCGCTAGTTTTCAACTGCTCATAGGCGGACACGTCCTCGATACCTCGGAACGGTTACTTTCGTGCATGAAGAGCCGACACAGTGTTCAAACGCATGAGCCGTGCATAGCACTGATATGACAGGTCTCAAGAGTCTGCTGCAAAGCAGGTGGTCCTTTCTGCGAGCTACTTTGAAGCATGCATCTGCATCGAAATATTAACCCTCATGCTGAGAAGCCGAGATTTTCGATGTGTTCCTGTTGGAGAGAAGCACGGAGCGATATCGCTCTGCCAAGTCAGATGCTGATGGTCTGAGGGTTGTGGAGTGAGGTTCTTGAGCTGGGAATGCCATACCATACAGTGTCCCGGTTCAAACTTGCTTCAGATCTTCCACTCAGAAGGTCCTGTGCCTCGGCTGGATCATAATCCGTCAGGCGTCTGAGCAGGCATGGTAGCTGAAGGGTGCGGCTAACCAACCCAGCCACGAAAGAAGCATTCTAGCTGGAAACCTCGAAGAAGTTACAAAAGTCTGCTTCATCCGAGCCCTGCAGTAACCTCAGTTTCTTCCCAAAACCAGCCATCGTCGGCACAGGGACGCATAAGACAGGCCAGCCGAATGAGCACCAGGTCCTGCGCAAGTGAGATTACAGGGAACTCCAGAAAGTTGGAATATGGTTTCAGGGTAGGATACCCTATAATTTACCATAAAGGGTTTAGGATAATGATATTCCAACTTTCTGGCTTTTACCTTATATGTTCTAGGTTTAGGCTTTTCCCACACATCTGTTCGGGCTCAAGTGGGGAAAGAGGAGGCGAAACCAAATAATCGACAGAAGTCCTCGAACAATCTGCAGATTGCGGATTTAACCGGGCGCGCCCTCCGACAAGCCCGAGTCCTTGAAACCACACCCTATATATTTATATTTTAACTAGTCTATCTATCTATTTGTCTTAAGTATCTGTTTATCGCTATCATTATGCTACTGCTCGTCTGTACTAACTTATAAATGCCCTACAACACCCAAACCCTCACCGGCTGTACGCCTTCAATGCGCACTGAATCGCGCACCCTATCACCGCCGGTTGCACCCAAAGCCATGGTCGAGGGCTTCGAGTATTGGGGGCCCAAGAAGCACATAAGCATAAGCATTTTATGGGGATATCCCTACCTCATTGGCCTTCCCTTTAAGAGGCTTCATATGGAATATCCCATCCTTATTTTTGCTTATGTGCTTTTTTGGGGCGCTATTGTCGTTTTTGAAACGACGTAGCAAAGGACTGCTGCACGAGGGCATGGGACAAGGCTTAAGAACGACGGCGAACAATTTAGTCTTGACCTGTACAACCAGAGTGGCAAGGCCTCCAGCTCAGAACAGTAAAAGCGACGGCGGCAGAAAGTGCACTGACAGAAAAAGTGGTTCCGAACTTCAGCCCTCCGGTATGGTTCCTCAAAAGGGTACTATAAGGGTTCCTTAAAAGGGTGCTATAAGGGTTCCTCAAAAGGGTGCTGTATCCTCCAGTGACAAAACCAAAACTTCTCCGCATTCTAAGCCCTTCGACCAAACTTTATGCAAACCTAACTAGAAGACACACCTGCCCACACAACCGCAAGCCACAAACCCTGAACTCTAAACCCCTTTGAACCCTGACTCAAAGCCCCTGAACCACCGTCCTCGGGCGTTGAAAAGGGGGCTTGCAGGGCTTGGGCCCTGGCAATCAAATAGCCTTGCGGTGGTTTAGACAACGAAGGTTACAGGGCCGTTCAAGGATGTATCCTATAGGGCCATTCAGTATCCGTTGGTTACTTTTGTTGAGGGAGCGGGGGCTCCTTTCTGCGTTTACGTTCAAGGTTTAGGATCGGCAGTCGCACTGCAAATGTAGGGTTCTGTAAACAGGAATCCCTCATGTCCTGAGCACAAGAACGAATCCTTTCGTGGCTTTCCGTTGCAGTCCTCTTGAGTCGCGCACCTCCAAGTTTCATACGGCAACCCTCAAATTTCTGCCATTATCCGGCCTGGAAGATCCCAAACTATGAGCTCTAGTATCCCTGAGACCCATCCCAGCTCCGAGGCAAGCTTTGAATCTCACGCATCTTTGGGCTCCAGTCCCATGGTTAAGAGTCCATCCATCCTTGCATCTCGTTGATGTTGTTGAATAGCTGGGACTCTGTGCGCTTGTGTCATGCAGTCGTTGTGACATCACTAATGCCTTGCTGGTCAACTTTACTGTTCTACCCACGACTCTAATTTTGATGCTGTGCGTGCTCTAGGACTCTAGGAAGGACACATCGAGGCGAGTGCAGTGTCTGAGCCAAGTAGCCCCAGTAGATGCCCCGCGGGGTAGCTTTCCTGCAAAGATTTCAGTCGTCGAGGCATGGAATTACGGTAAGTCTGCGCCTACACCCTCAATGCATGCAGGTATGCGCAATGCGAATATGTGATAGGCACATATACATATACATATACATATACATATACATATTTATATACATATGTATAAATATATATATATATATATATGTGTGTGTGTGTGTGCATATGCAGTCATGTTTACGGTATGATATGTAGAACCTATGCAAGTATACACGTACCTACATAAAACACACACGTACATGTGACGATTATACGAACGAACTGTAAAACGAAGACCCTAAGCAAGTCTAAACAGGCCACACACGAGCCGAAAAACGAGCCTCGTAAGTAGGTCAACAAAAAGGATGCGGGAGAACTTGGTTCTGAGAAAAACATAGGTACACAACATAAACTAATACCTGTAAAACAGTGACACTAATAAAACAACAGTAGCAACAACAATAACAAACATCACCATCATACTCTTAGCCATAGTAGCAACAACTATATACAATATCGCAATAATGATAGCAATAACACCAACAATATTACTAATTAATCATCAAACGAGTATATCGTATTCACAGTGCTATCGATATTGCAGACCGGGCTCAGTAGGTGCTGCAGCATGCGAACTGCTGCGATGACATTCTCGGCTCGTTTGGCATTGAGGAAGCGCGAGCCGTGCCCCGCCCCTAAGCCACTCCTGCGAGCAGGATCGGATTCAAGAGAACCCGTCTAGACTACGTCGAAGGAATCGTAAACTCTAAACCATAAACTCGCGGTGAACTGGCAGCTGCGGCCTGCAAATTTATCATGCAATTCTTCCGAGGATTCCCTCGCTTTGCGTTTCGTCCCCAAGCCCCCCTTTGCGAGGATGTGTACATATCTAGAATATCGCGTACAAGCCCTCAATCGCCAGCAGAAACACTGTGGGTGGCAGGGCCATGGTGGGTTTAGGGTGTCTGCGCACAGATTGTGATTTCGGGAGTGCACAGTCCGAACAAAAAAATCAGTCTGAGATCCTGAACGGATGAGGTGTAGCTCGAGGCAGTGCAGGTTAAGAATCCTAACTTTACACACCGCAGCCAAGGTACATAAAGCCAAGAAGGAAAATAATGTAGAAGCGCAGGGCTTGCTCACCCTCTCTTCGCACCTGTTCCATGCATGGGTCGTTCAGGGGCAAGCACATGCTTGACCTGACTGTCAACGCTACGCCAATCGAAGACATGAGAGAGTGGTTTCAAACACATTACTTAACTGAGACCCTATATAAATGTATATATACATATATACATATATACATATGTTTTATTAATATGTGTACATATATATATATATATATGTATATGCATATATATATATATATATAAGCATCTGCCATTGGAGAGTGCATCGCAACAGAGACCCCAAATCAAGCCAACCCCGATCTCGGAAAGTCTACCCTAGAACTTATAAAAAAAAATTAAATATTCTCCGCAGCAGAAGTATTCTCAGTGGCACCCTGGCACGCCAAGCTTCCACACACTTCAGAAGTACGTGTTACGTGTTGAAAACGGCACCCCTGCAAGCTTCCAAACACTTCAGAACTACGTTTTACAAATACTCCCCAAACATATCACCTGGAAGGGTTTCTTGAAGCTGTTCGACGATTTCGACAGATTTGGATACGTGCTTCTTTGCATCGGTGGACCCTGGAAGTTTGCCAAGTTTGTGGCAGTTCCAGCATGGGGCCACATGGTGATGCATGATGCCGGGTGATGCGTATTTATCCCAGGATTCGTGAAGCCAGCTGAACCCAAGGTGCGTTCAGGTGACATGTGGAAGCTCTCCGAACTGGCAAGAACCTTAAGGACGAAACGAACCCTAAAAGGGTTTAAGGTTCATATACTATATAGGGATTCATAGTATATGGGTTTAGGGCCCCTATTTTTAAGGGTCACTTGGTCCTTCAGGAAGTGAGATCAATGATCATGCAAACCATGCGCACCCAAACCCCATGAACTTCCCCCTGTCAAAGCTGTCACGCGAATGAGAATTATTGTCAGGGAGGTACTTGCTCGGAGGTTGAGCAGTGTATTGAAGTCTACTGAATCCCTCCTGCATGTTGGCAGAGATTCAGCAGCATTTTGCAGAACAAAACCCTAAAACCCTAAACCCGAAAACCCTAAACAATAAAACCTTTTGCAGAACATACCGCTGTTGTGATCTGCTAGGGGGGGAGGATTTCCTGTCAGCCTTTCAGCTGCTTCGTAAATCTCGAAAACCAAGACTTAGTCAAACAAAGCTGCTCCAAACCAGACAGCAATCTAATATTGCTGTCATATTGTTGACGATTGCATAATACACATATTCTATTCATGTGGCATGAAATAATGCAACATATATATATATATATATGTATGTATAACGGAGACAACGGAGACTCGGGGAGCCCGAGCTGTGCCTATAGGCCCCTTTCCTGCCTGTTCCTGAAGTTGCGCAACGTTGGCCGGGACATTCTCACCCTGGCATAGAACTGGTTTAGGGTTTCTGGTGGTTCCAGCGCTTTACACAATGGTCACACTCAGCATAGGCTCAGTGCAGGCTATAGCATCGAAAACTCGCCTTCCAGGATTAAACCGTTGAGGTTCATAACCGTTGCTGCGATGGTCGCCAGCCCGGTTCATCGGCTACTCCATTGTCCATATGCGGCTGCTCTACGGCAAGACCCCACAAGTTTCACTTCAAGCTGCTTGACACAACTTAGGCAATCGAGGGCGCTTATGCTTCGTTTATAGGATAACTCCTACAATCCTACAATGTAACAGATAACACTAGTACAGGCATAATCCAGTCTAGTCTACAGTAGAAGCCAGAAAGTTGGAATATCATTATCCTAATCCCTTTAAGGTAAAATATAGGGGATCCTGCCATTATTCCATATTCCAACTTTCTGGAGCTCCCTTTATTGTGAGATGCTATGATCTACAATGCCCAGAGTTTCCATTGCAGTTGCTTCTGGGGGGTTCCACAAATTTTAGGATCCTTGGAGGTATCCCAGAAAAGGACTACAACGGAAACTCTAGGAAATATGTTGAATCTATCTACTGTTATTGTACAACAAAAAACTAGAACACACCATGATCTACTGTAGTACAGTATAGTACACCATAAGAAACAACAATATGCTACAATAGACCATGACCTACTACGTACAATATATGGGAGTTTCCGAAAATAGGGGACCTTAATATAGTACCCTAAATAGTAGGATCCTTATTATAAGGACCCCTAAATATGGTACCCCTATTTTCGGAAACTCCCAAACCCCAAACCCTATATCCCTTATAGGAACCCTTAAAGAAACCCTTATAGATCCCTTTTAAAGGTACCCCCTTCTTTTCCTACGTACAATATATATATATATATATATATATATATGCATTTCGCAGACGACCCTGGCCTGGAGCATTTGCGCGAAGTTGAAGACCGCATGAAGCCGCAACGTCGCCCGCAGCCTTGGCTTTTGTGGTTAAGAGGATCCTTCTAGGATTCCTTTAAAAAGTTTTTATAGGGTGTTAAAGATGTCCTTTCAGGGTTTCTCTGGGGGTTGTTTTATTCTAGGGTTTACGAGGGATTTGGTAAGAAAATACTATAATTACTTTCTAAAGGCATGGCAGAGTCTTGATGTTGGCTTCAACCAGAGCGACCCTCATTGCCCTGGTATGCTCGATCAGACTCAGGTCTGACTGAACTTCAGTCCAAAAACCTCCAGTTGTGTATTCGGATGCCTAGTGACCTAGGAATAACATGGGCTCCCTTTTTGGTACTGGGTCACTTTATAAGGAGACTAGGACTACAAAAAAGGAATAAGTGTACTACTGGGCATCCTTGTGTATTCATAAGCAATGGAAGGGCAAATGACCTCAGGCGCCGTCACCTTCGTTTTCATCCGCAAAAGCGGCTAGCCTTACCCGCGCCCTTGCTCGTAGCCGGGGGCTACAGCCGTGTCAACAGGATCCGGTACCTGCAGGAAGCCTACGTAGCTCATCGTCATGCCAGGACTTCATGCGGCAACAACTCGTCAGTTCGCAGCTCCATGTCATTCAGGTAGAAGGCGCGGGACGCGTTCACAAAGCGCGGGTTGTCTAGGATGAAACTCCCATCCATGTTGGCAACCATGCCTTGCGGTGTGCTGTGGAAGCACCCCCGACTACGAAGCTGAGCAAAGATCTCCTCGCCCGGGAGCACTTTAGGCCCCCAGAGAGGCCCGTTTCTCTTCAAGCAATGTGCCGGGTCTTTGGGATACATCTCGCAGAATTGTGCAATAGATACGGCCCGAGTGACAAGTCCGACCTGTTGCATACACCTCACGAAGCCCTGAGGAAGGCTGAAGACCGTGATCCAAGCCCGGAAGGTCTCTGCCACGGACTGATAAAGCTCCTCACTATGAGTTCCAATGATAAGCCGATAGACCTAGCGATCCATCACCTGTCTTACTCTGGGATCCGATAGGAGTGGACCCTCTGCCCCTTGGATGTCGATGTGCAACAAATCCAGATGCTGCACTGCCTCCATCATCTCCAAGAAGAGCTCCGTATCTGCCCTTGTGCATTTCAAGATAGCATCAATACCGTTGAGCATCAGCACCTTGCGTGCACCAAGGCAGTGATCTCTCAAAGGCTCCACCAGGAACCAACGATGCGGCAAGGGATTCTTCACTCGCAGGAATGCGATGCTGCGAGCACCCCAAGTCCCCCATCTGGCGCCCAGCTCCATTGCATTGAAAGACCCATGAGCTCGAAGAACAGACTGGCAGACGGCGACATGCTCGAAATACTCCTCATCGATCAACGGCAACTGTGGCTGAGTAAACGGAAGCTTAGACCTCGCGAAGGCTTCCTGCTCATGACACGCATGCCAGCGGCTTGGCAGAAAAAGGTAATAGCGAAAGGTCCCCCAGGGACACGCATACGTGCCCGGGCGCTCAGCGTCCCACTGACTAGCATTGCAGAAGTTCTCGCAGTCGAAGTGCGCCGGTACCCTTAGGCCGTTAAGCTCTGTGAGTATGCCGGGCTCCAGCGGATAGGATTGCAATTGCACCTGAAGCATGACAGGATGCTGATGGTAGGCTTTGCCATCCAACGGGTTCAGCGCAAACGTCTCCGCTCGGCGCGGCAGGTTGAGCAGATTCATCAGCGGAAAAACGGTAACCCATGCCATCTCAAGCGGTGTGCTACGCACTGACAGCAAGGGGAACACTTCTGGTTGGTGGGGGAAGGAAGCGGTGTCCTATGTGTTTTTTTTCGGTCTCGCTTTACAGGTGTTATGGGAGTTTCCGAAATAGGGCACCCTTTTGTAAGCTTTGGTACTACACCAAATAGTAGGATCCTTACTAAAAGGGTCCCAGAGCACGGGCGGGGAGGGGGGGCTGGGGGGGGGCTGGGGGGCGGGGGGGGTGCTGGTGTAGTGAGCCGGGACAGAAACGTAGCCAGGTTAAAGAGGCACCAACTAGACTAAGGTTCCTTTAAGGGGGTATCTAAGGGCTACTACAGGGGATCAGTAAGGGTACTGTAATAAAAACATTTAGAATCGGGTTTAGAGGTATATTATACCATAATATTGAAGCCCCAACCTAGACCCCCCAACTACCCTCGAATGTACCACAAATACCTACTATTAAGGGCCTTTCGGGCTCCATTAACGGGCCATTGGGGGGGTCCTGGAACTGACTTATAAGACTCCATGTATCTACATAGTAAGTACTTAGGCCTTAAAGGGGTCCCTATATGGGCTCTTTGAGGCCCAAGTACCTGCTATATGGCTACATGGTGCCTTTGGGTGAATCTTGCAAAACCTACATGCGTAGGAGTGCAGCTTGAACAGCAGAATCAAGCGATCCGTCCATCTGCCTGTGTATGCTGTACTTGAATAATGCACATGCATATAAGACCGATATAGGTATATGTGTGTATATATACATACGTACATATACATACATATATGTACATATACACATACATATACATACAGTATGCCGATGTTGATGCAGTTATATATATATATACACAGAAATCTATACCTATCTGAGTGTATGTATATATATATATACATGTATGTATATGCGTGTATGTATATGCATATACACATAGTTTGAATGAGCACCGCGGCAACATCAAGTTCCGTTCAGTCCATTTCAAATGTTCCAACCACATGAACTTTAGTCTGTCATCATAAGACTACTACAGCGACGACTGCTGCAAATGATCACCACGTTTGGTAGCAATGGGGATTTTGCGACGACACCGCCGCGACCATTGCTGCCACTGGCTTCGGTGTTGCCGCTATGGTAGCGATTGTGTTTGCAACTTTCAGGGTTATGAGGCCCGTTTCTTAGCGTGACGCTCCTTGTGGTGTTTTCGTGAAAGGCTCAGCCCCAATGCTGGTAGTTTCGGGACTGATCAACCGAATTTCCTCCACATCGACCCCTTTTATTTCCGTGGCCAAGGATCGACTCGAGCCCTTGCTGTGGCAAGTCCTCCAGATGAGCCCTACTCAGGGCGCTTCAACTATTTCTAGCTGCTGGGACTTCAGGCCTGTAATGGGTTTCACAGCCGCAATCAATTTGGGCAAAGCACATCCCCAGGCCCGTTTATGCAGCAATTGGTTCTCAAGTTTCAACGGTTTAGGATTCCGGTCAACTTCCTAAACTCGAGGGTTGTGATGTCTCCCCGAAACCCAAACGACCCCGAACCTTCAATGTCTAAGGGGCAGGATTACTCAGTGTCTATAGATCGGGGGAGCGGTTCCTATGCTGACGCCCCTAGATTTTGCTTAGCCTCCCGCAGTCCCGCAGTGCTGTTTCCGAAATGTACACTGCCAGGACACATGGCCAAGGGCACAAAGCTAATACTGAACCAGTGAATCTTACTCAGGTTGCAGTGCTTGTAGTGCATGGCTTGGAAAAGTTGGTAGAGCATGTTGCCTCTCGGAGAAACTCTACTTATGGTAGTGTCGCACTTGTACATCAAGTAGCACATCCCTGACAGGACCAAAAGGGCTTTGGGTGGCCCTGGAAACATCGTAATTTCAGCGGTGTCCTTGACGCTGGGTACGACATTTTGGCAGTTCTCCACCTGGCAATTCCAAGGTTCGCTTTCGACTCCGATTCAACTCCGGAAGTCTGACAGATTGGCAGCGTCCATACGATGATCCCCGTTTGAGCTTGTGGTGGTACAGCGCTTGTGCTGTCGTTGTTGGTGCTATAGTGGCAGTTGGTAGTAGTGGTAGTAGTAGTAGTAGTTGTTGTTGTTGTTGCAGCAGTAGTAGTACTGGTAGTAGTAGCAGTCGTCGTCGTCGTAGTCGTAGTCGTAGTAGTAGTAGTAGTAGTAGTAGTGGTGGTGGTGGTGGTGGTGGTGGTGGTAGTAGCAGTGGTAGTCAATAGTACCCGTAGTAGTGGTCGTCGTACTGGTAGTAGCGGTGGTGGTGGTGGTGGTAGCAGTGGTAATAAAAGTGCTCTTGTCACGGTCACCCTCGTCTCGTTTAGCATTGCGACTGGTACTGCCACGGTCCACAATGGTGAGAGATCATACCAGTGGGCACTGCTGATACTGATACCGTTAGCGTTTCTGCTAAACGCGTTGCCGATTACTCTACTTGCTATGTCAGTGGTGATGTCGCCTTAGCTGTTGCATCTGTTGCAGTTGCTGCTGCTGTTCTGCTGCCGCTGATGACGTTGCAGTTGTGGATTCTGATGCTGCCGTTCCTCTTGTGGTTGTCGTTGTTGCTGTTGTGGTTGTTGTTTGTTGATGTTGTTGTTGTTGTTGTTGTTGTTGTTGTTGTTGTTGTTGTTGTTGTTGTTGTTGTTGTCATTGTTGTTGTGTTGGTTGTGGTGGCTGTTGTTGTCAAACGTACTGTATTGACTATATACTCTACACAAACTGTCTCTATCTCTCTCTATATATGTATATATATATGTATGTATGTATGTATGTATATATATATATATATGCATACTTGTATACATGTATGCACTCAGGAAACATATGTACATTCCATACGGTATCATACAGTTTATGAAGATTTAATCAACACAGCAAATGGATCCCATGCCAAGGCACCAGGTAGAGAACTGCACTCTCGGGCCGGCGCCTCGACAGCTGGCCAGGAGGGAAAGTTGGCTTCGTTGGAAAATGCATACTTTAGGGCTTAGGGGTATAACGATAGAATAACTATAATACTATTAAAAAGGAACTATGAGGGGATATCGTTACTTAAGATTCCGACCCCCATACTTCCTATGTGATCTGAGATTCAATGCTCATCAGTATCAAGGAGACTGGCATGCAGTGAGCCATGAAAACTGAAACATAACGTAACGCAAAGTTGCACATTAGATCAAGAGTTAAAGCCGACCCAAGGGACTTGTTGATTCTTGGTCGTGGCAAGAGTCAACGAAACAAAACTCCACAACAAAACTCATCATGGCAGCATGCCATCGTAGAGGTACATCTAAGTCGCCGTAGAGTTATAATGAGATGTGATGATATGGTGCACCTGCCAAGGCATCTTCCAGTTAGGCCCAAGCTGAATAACTAATTCTGGCACACGACCACCCCACATCTCACCGACCCCAATTTCCATCGCCACGAGTTCCCGACAAGAAGTCCTGAAATGCATAAGTTTGCAGAAATGTTGATGAATAATGTGGCTTAGGACGAAGGCTAGCCCTGGTGCTCAGAATCCTTCAGAACACCACAGAAGCCACGACGTTAGATGCAGCTTGGCGGCTCATGATTCGGCACTTGGCTGGCAACAAACTTGCTCTTGCCTTAGCCCGCTCCGCTCTTGGGATTTGTTCCGCGATCCCAATCTGACAACTCACAAGAAGTACGAGTAACAGGCCTTCGGGCTTCAAAAATGAAGGGTGCAGTCTTGCATAGGTTTCGCCATAGGTTTGCTTCTAAGTCTTCTTCGACAATGAGGGCCTGGCTGCGGATGCGTCGAGAACAAGGCCAGCCAGACTGTCACAGCTGAAACAGTTAAGGGCACTTGGATTGCCGATGTGGTCGCCATTTTGGTTGCAGATGGACAGAATGATGAATATGGAAATGTCGAACACAGATCACCAAGTAAAGAAGAACATTGTGCTTGCGACATTGTGTGGTGTTGCTGGTGATGTGTATGTTGATGTTGGTGTTGATTGCACTGGTCTGGCGGCGGCAAACAAATATGATTGCAGTTTGGATGCCTCACACTAGCACCGGTAAAAGAGTCCTGGCGCTGAAACCAAGATGTGGTGCAATGCTGGTGCAATGGCTACACGCACTTTTGTCGTCGTCGCTGTTGTTGCTGCCACCATTTAAGCAGTGGGCCTGGGGGGATGTGTTTCGGTTCTTCTGGAGTGCAGATATAGCATCATCTTCGTCAGCAGCAGCACAACGTCATAGTCATAACCCGCATCATCATCATCATCACCTATACCTCACTTTGCAAGCTAACCACCCGCTGTGCAGGTAATTGCCAGAATTGTGTCTGCAGAATTGCAAAACTGGCTATCGCATTGGCAGCAACATAAACAAGAACGCCAAACGGGTGGAAAGTCTGCCAGCTGAAGGCTTGAACTGCACTCGTACTTTTCCAGCCAAGTTTCCCAAAGGCCGAATGGCCATCAAGACCTCACTGGTAGCACATGCAGTCAATCGGACGACAGGCTCCCATATCTTGGTGCAGCCCAGCATCTAGATGTCCTGGCAAATCCCGACGAAATCTGAACTTAAGCCTAGGTGCCAGGACTGCATGAATGTCGTCTGAACTCGGACGAGCCCAGCTGACGATGTCTTGAAGCTCCTTCAGCATTGTGGTGGAGCAGAAGCATGCATTCTTGGGACTGCAGAAACTGATACTCGCAGGTCTCTCGCATGACGGCAACTTCAGCCCCTAGCATCCGGCCGAGCGCCCCCTTGGTTCAGGTTTGCATGAACTCGCTCCGAAATCTCCAAGTCCCTCGTGCCCCTCCATTCCCGGCCCTCTCCTCCCACTGCTGCCGCCGAAGACGGTAGTTCGCATCCTGTCACAACTGCCGGGCACGAAGTTCTGGGTTGGATATCACGGGGAAACACAGAACCCTAAACCCTAAACCGTTCATTTATACTATAACTATAAGAAGGAACCACCGAAATAGTATAGGTCAAGAAAGTGAGAGAGCAGGACTCCGGAAGAGCAGAGCTCCAAACAGGAGTGGGGAATCATAAGACACTAGTAGTAATGGGCGTCACATATACAAACATACGTATAGCAGCACTATTGTCGTTATGGTCATTCCGGCTATAGCTTTTTATAGCTGTTCTTATTGCTACTGGTCGTGCTGTCATAGATATTTTCCTCGTCCGAAACGCTAAATCCTAAACCGCTACACCCTAAACCCTAGTTATTGTCCTCATCCCGAAACCCTAAACCTGAAACCGGAGGCAAAAGGAGCCTGAGGACGAGTGAAGATCTCGTAGCGGTCGGCAAGTAACGCCAAGATGCCTAGCAGCCAGTTGGTGGAGGGTTTAGGGTTTTAGGGTTTAAAGGGCTTATAGGGTTTAGGGTTTCAACACTCACACTCGAGGGTTTAAGGTTTAGGGTGTTAGGGGCTTAGGGTGCAGGGAATAATAAGGTTTAAAGGGTTTGTAGGGTTGAGGTGAGGGTTGAAGGCTTAGGGGTTGAGGGTGGAGTCATAGTAACAGAAGCGATATCGACACTAGTGACTCTAGCGGTTAGAACCCTTACGAGCTGAAGCCCAGGCACAAGCAAAACTGCGAATTCCAAGCCCCTGAAACCCAAATCATGAAGCTTACTTATCTACATACATACCGAATTTATAGGTGTAGAAAATCGAAGCACTCATTTAACCCCTGAAACCTGAATCATATGGGTGGTTGTCAAAATTCGGGTCCCTTTGGGTCCTTATCATAATACAGCACCCAATATTTAAGGTGCCCAAAAAGGGACCCCATAATTTTGACAACTACCCATATAAGTTAAACCCTAAACCGATCACATAAGCCCCAGGGGAGGGGCCCGCCAACTTCAGGATCAGTGGCTGATGCAGGAGGATTCGGAGCGATCCCTTTCCTGGCGAACTGAGGGCATGAGTGTCCCTCCTGTTTCGGGTTTAGGGTTGAGGCCGAACCCATATAGCAGGTGAGGAGACTGCTACTTCTAATCATATAAGTGATGATCATATCATTTTTGACAATCGCAAAACAACCGGAAGCATCTCTCGTTTCACGTGCGTCAGCGTCCATACTTTATGCCACACCATGGCAGAATGGGCCCTTTGCAGTTCTTCTGCTACGTCACCCGGCGAAGATCCCCGCAATCAGAACTCAGGCTTTGTGATCCTAAACCCCAATTTGCAAATTATTCAAGCTTTCTGGCTCTGCTACACCGAAAAACTTCGAAGTCCAAGGCACCGCTATGCCTGGGATTAAACGGCTTGTCTGGAAAGCATGACGACTCGACAAGCAGAGCTTCATGTCAAAGTCTTAAGGCCTCAGGAGCCCCAAGTCCTGAGTCCTCCAGACTCCACAGGTTTAGGGCTTAGGGGTTTAGGGTTTAGGGGTAATTATGAAGGATAGGTTTCAAATTTTGGCTGGTCTCCACGCTGTAGGGTGGGCTTGGGCAAAGTAACTGATGCGGAGTCTCTCTGGAGGCCTGGCCGCGAATCCTGGCCACTGCACCTCTGAAGCTACCCGACGCGTTCGACCCGGTATGGCTCAAACTCCCAACATACCTGAGCCCCACCTAGCACCCAGGACTGCCTGAGGCTGCTCGAAGATAATGTGGGAACCGTGGACCTCAGCGCAATGGCTGTAGTGGTCGCCGATGTCGCATTGGCAGCATCAGAAGCAACATATTAGTCAAAGTAGTAGACGCAGTCGTAGCTGTCGTTGTCGTAGTACTTAGTAGCAGTAGTGGTAGTAGTGGTAGTAGTCGTCGTAGTAGGAGAAATAGTACAAGTAAAACTAGAAGTAAAAGTGGCAGCAGCAGCTCAGCGTGCAAGCGCATCCCTACAACATCAAAGCTGAAACCCTAGAGTTTAAAAGCACAGTGATAATCCCAATTCCGATAGCTCTGAAAGTAATTGCCGCCGGGAGGCCGGATGCAGTTCCGGGAGACAAGAGCGAAGCTGGTGAGGCAGGGTAGACTCCTGTGGTTCAACGCTTCGATCTTTGAAGGTTTCAAGTACCACGACTTGGCAGACCGGGCGAGGCGCCCAAGGGTGTTTAGGGTTCAGGGCAGTGCTATCATCAGATTAATAGTTCGGGCTCGGGAGTTTGTAGCTTTGGAGATGGTTTTTCTCAAGGCACAAACGACAAGTACCCGCAGGGCTGTGACGCGGACTACTACCATATGTGCCCAAATCTAGCCGTAAGCATTCTAGTACTCCGGTTCCAAACGCAACGATGCCAACGGACTGATGTCGCAAGCTTGCACTCCCGCACAGGCCGTTCATGTTCGAGTGCAGGTTCGGGAGGAGTATTCATACTCAGCTGCAAATCTGCGAAACCGACCCGTAAACCGAAATTCGCGTCTGAAAAGGAGCCCAAACACTAGACTCTGGGACTCTGGGTGGGTATATAGCTGGCGAAACATGTTTAGTTAGTCTTCCTGTTATGTCTGCGAGGATGAACATGGAGCCGCATTTGTGCCGCTGGATTATGTTCGGGTCTGTATTGTTAGTAATAACATCCCCATACAGTTCCTATAAGAGTTTGATTCCGAATACCTCTACTCAAGAACCCCAGAGACTCCAATATCCCTTAATTCAGGAATGTACCTCCTAATATGATTTAGGGAATATTCCTTAAAAAACGGATATTGGAGTCTCTGGGAAGGCCCCTACCAGGCCCTCCACCACACGCCTCCAAGTCTTCCAGCCAACCACTTCGAATCAGCCTGGCCAGCCCCATAGGCTGCGTAGGCCTTGGTTCTTTGCGCTCTTTGGGCATTGCCTGTGTATACACTTATGTACACACCTGCGCCATGTGCTCTGCTCTGACGGTGGAAGGTCAAAGGGAGAAGCTGTGGGCCTGTTTGTGGGAGCGAATCAAGATTGCAATCCGTCACCACCACTGGTGGACCATCATGCACAGCTAAATTCGTACATGCCCATTTCCACAGATCGGAAAGGGCTAAGTGCAAGTGTCCGCTCGGCGTCACTCACGAGCTGATCTCGTTGCAAACCCACTCCGAAAGCTGCACACTTCAAGCACATGGGATGCAGTGGTGCCCAAAGCGATGCCCGTTGCAGGGTTGTGTCAAACGCGCTGAGGGGCTCTGTAGGCTCGCCCGACGGATCCTCAGTGCTCAGTCGCTATCGGGGCGACCTTTCTGTCCGTTCGATGCCAGGTTGCCCTTAAGACTTGACCTCAAAATGGTTAAGTGGGTGCTGGACTATTTTCTGCGGATGCACACGGCCCTTGTCCTATAGTGTTGTAGCTTGGGTCGGTTTATGGTGCGCACACAAGCTTGACAGTATCAAATAGTCTCTCCGCCCTCAATCTCTGTCTACGTCTACGTATACCCTAGCCTGCTGCCTGCCAACGCACGGATACGTGGCGATCATGCCAGCTCTTCCAAAACAGAAGAAACAGCTTAAAGCATCTGTATCCAGGTGCAATAGCTACTGATTGCTCTTGGGAGTTTCCGAAAATTACAAGTACCTGATTGTGGGGATTGTGGGGTCCGTTTACAGTAAAGATCCTACTATTCAGGGTGCTATAGTAGGGTCCCCTATTTTCGGAAATTCCCTCTTGGACTGCACCGTTTCGACGA